TTATATTATTTCACAATATTATTGTTTTTAATGTTTTTTGGTGAACATAAGAGAAAGAGACATAAACATTTGTACCAAGACAATTAGTGTATGTTTGACATTAGTGTATGTTTGGCGTTTTACTTACTAATCATATGGTTCATCAATAGTGCTTTAGAGATGAAGATCAGCTCCACTCCGCTCCGTTGAAGGGCATCAGCACTGAAGGATCTAAGAACACAACAAGCCATTTGTCACTGAGCCAACAATGCAATGCCAGGTTTATTGAAAGGAAAGAAGCTACAGCAGAGGTGAAATGCAGAAAAGAGAAAGAATTTAAAGAATATACAGAATATAATTTCTTAACTAGGATAACAGAATTTGTTTTTGGGTTTACTTATTCATTTAATTTTGCTCATACGGTGTAACTTCGTTTGGATGTCAAAACCTTCTTAAAATAAACAATTTAAAAAAACAAATTGAGAAATAAAATGAGGTTATTTAATGAGCTTCCTCGGCTCACCTGTGTCCTAACGTTACTTCTCCGGCAGCAGCTTTCTCCAGAAATGTTGAAGTCGTGGAGCTTTCTCTCTGTTATGGGTTATTTTGTTACTACTGAAATCACAGAACATTTTTTAATCAAAATGTGTTTAACGTTACCATTGAGCTAACGTTAGTTTCAGCCAATTTTCTTGCTCCTGAAAGTAACATCACCGATACGTTATGTTTACGTTTGTGTTAAATAAATTAGCTCACTTCCAAGTAAAACCTTTACAAAACCTCTCATCTACACATAAGAGGTGATTAAAAGCCCAAACTTTAATAAATAAAAGTTCAACCGAGTTAACATTACGTTAGCCTAGCTAGCTGCTACCTCTTCAGAAAACGGTTGAGATCCTAACGGACTTTTTCCGAAGACACTACACCATGTAAATTTTTAACAGAATCGTGTCAATTACAAGTAAGAGAAATGTCAAAAACAGTTGTGTGTATTATTCGTGTGATTTTAGAGACTAATCTCACCTGGAAAAAGCCGTGAAAAGTTTAAACAACATCGAGAGAGGGAGTTTTGTTGCTTACCAGTAGCAGTGGTCCCGCGCCGTTTCCATGGCAACTCTGCGCGCCGGCCGCTCCAGTGTTTGAAATACTCGAAAGTTCACGCGCACGGCATTGATTAAACCACGTCAAAATCATGCAGCACTTAAAATGAAAAGTTTAATATCCACTTTATTTTATTTGAAAACGTGCTTGCAGTAGCCTATTGATTATATCAAATATAATATACTGTTGATTATGTAAAATATATTTACAATATAGCTTTAGAAATGGTAAACAGTGTTGAAATAAAAGTATTGCAAAAACTCATTAAAAACTATACGTGTATATAAGTGTTAGTATATACACATGCATTATAAGCTTTATGTTCTATGCATTTTGTGTGAAAAAGGCTATTGAAGCTAAAAATGTACAGTATTTGTGACGTGGTAACATAATTCACATGTTAAAACCTATTACAACGTGCAAATATATTTCACATGAGCTCCACATTATTACCTATAACATGTTTTCCACATGTGCCACGTGTTCCATTAAGTTCACATGTGGTGACATGTTGTTCACATGTGGTCGAACATTACTGCATGTGGTGACATGTTGTTCACATGTGGTCGAACATTACTGCATGTGGTGACATGTTGTTCACATGTGGTGAAACATTGTTCACATGTGATGACATGTTGTTCATATGTGGTCACATGTGGGCATATGTGGTCACATGTGGTCACATGTGGGCACATGTGGAAAACATGTGATAACATGTGAAATTCATGTGTTTTTTCTGTAAGGGTTGTCTTTCTTTAAAATAAATGTTTATTAGTTTTATTTTTTGGTAATGCATTGATATTGATAGATTTTAGTATTATTTGTATAATGCTTCGGGTGCTGGTTGAAGGGAAGATGATCGAGGCTAATAGAGGTAGGAGGTTCCACAAAAACATCAGTTTGTGATGGGTTAAAACAGGGTCATGGTGTCGCCTATACACTTGACATTCATTAAGCTTCTGTAAAGAATAGCGGATTTTTATTAAAAGTTACATAATCCCACTTCAGACTAATGCTTCCTGTTTCCCATGTGGGTTTAAAAGAAAATTCACTTGAAAATAACTTACACAAAGAAATTTCTCTGGAAAATACACATCGACACCGAGAAAAGTGTAAAAGAACTACAAACTATGTAATTACTGTCATATCTTCATTAGCCTATATGATATCGGTTTCTTATAACGAATAAAGTTGACTGTTTTAACGGAACTTACCATATTTATGGACCATGATGTGAAGATTGTTGCAGTTAGTTAGAAAACTGGTACTGTAAATCCAAAACGTTTCGACTAACTAGTTCTCCAAATAAATAACAACGCTTTAAATCCTTCTCGGGTCCAGCTGTCCCTTTCTAGCTGTCTCCGAACAGACTTTTAAAAGTTTTGAAGTAATTTCCCCACAGTGACGATATTGTTTCTTTGGGAAGTTCTTGACGACGAGAGTAAGTTAGTGCAGTTGGCAGGAGATGCGTGTTGTGGTAGTAGAGTGTGAAGCTTCCCGTTATCTGCCTTTGGGAAGTTTTGAGGGGAACTGGGGGGCGGTCTGCAGACTACAGGGTCTTACTCATCCTTCATCCAAATGTAAACTGTGGATAAATAAGCGTACTGTCATTATGGTGGGAAAACATCCAGCTTTATTATATAACGGACGCTAATCATATGTGATCATGTGTGAATTTGTGGCTAGCAAAGAATAAAGGAAGGGGAAAAAGTGCTATAAATGATCAAATCAAATATACCTGAAATTTATTTCGTCAGTCTTTCGGAAAACACCCTGTTTGCCATTAAGGGGTGATGCAAGTTTGGCCATGGAAATTATTATTCCGAAGTGTCGCATGCCACCTAGTGGAGAAAGAGTGAATCTGCTTCAAGTGGGTCTGTCGCCCTTTTTTTAGCTATAAAGATGGGTTTTTTTTTTTTTTAGAAAAGGGAAAACACATTATTATATCAATTACCAGCGTGATTAGGAAGGAGCCTCAAGTTTTTCCACATCTTTTTTTAAGCCGGTGTTTTCTCTCGCCCCTATGAACGCTTTAGGTAAATGAAAATCCCGGAGTGGAGTTCTTCTGTCGCTCCGCTCCAGATCCAGATCCAGATCCAGACGTTCAGTCTATGCGTTGCTTGGTGACACGAAGCTTGACGTTTGGGTTGAGACTGTATAAAAAAAATCACATTTGTTCTATAACCACCTAACGTAGGTCGACTTAATTAAAACATTTGCTTTATTACATTTAATCAAATAGAACAACGTAATAACGAAACCGCAACAACATTTCTAATTTGTATACAAGGAATTCACATTAACATGTAACTTAGGCTATGGCATACAGTGGAAACTGGCCAACTTTTTTTATCATTTGATGCAGGTCAAGGTCACAATATTTTTCCTTTGAAAAAAAAAATCATGACTGAAGTGTAATGTTAAACATTTATTTAAACCAAACTAACACCGCATAATACAAATTTGCTGGATACTATTTTATGATTAATATAATTGATAATATATTATTAATTTTCACAATCTTTTAAATAACCAGTGGGGAGCTGGATATTTAAAATGAAGATGTTGTGCTCCTTAATTTGCCTGTTTTTATAATGCCGCCATCCATATATTCATGGCTAAGAACCAAATGTAATATTTCAAGAATCAGTAATTGAAATTCCCATTCTGATTGATTGGATGTAAAGATGTTAGCAGGGTGGCATTATTTATCACATTTGTTGTTGCACACCCTATGGTTCCTCACCCTATAACATTAATATATTTTAAATATCACTTTCTCTTTTTTACAACATTTTTATCTTTCTTTTTTTTTGTGGCATAAATATCTTGGAAGAATCAATGAATGTGGAGGGCAAACATTCATTTTTATGACCTCAAAATAAACCCTGTACGGGTCAACTGTACTAGCCCACCAGCCTTGATCTCCAATACATTTTGAAAAAATACACACATACAACAATACAGTTAAACTTACACAAATTATAATGCCCGTATTTACCAGAATATCAATAAAAATTGCAAAAATCTTTACAAATACATTTCTGTATAAACATTTTATTTTGGTCCCACTTTATATTAGGTGACTAACTACTTAATTAGCGTTAGATACAGTTAAAGTTAGGGGAATGTTTAGTGGTAGTTATTGTTATGATATAACAATAACTGCAGAAATTAATTACAAATGTAATTGCATGCTGATATTTTTTATATTTACCATGTAAAACAATAAGTGCATGGTATAATGATTAATTTAATTAAAGTACATACACTGTAATATATATATATATATATATATATATATATATATATATATATATATATATATATATATATATATATATATATATATATATTTAAGAACAATCAACATGGATGTTTAAGTCATTTCAACTTAAATTATATTAAACTGACATAAAAAAAATGGTAAATCTTGTACAACTTGAGAAAAAAGGGGAAAATTGCTTAACTTATTTTGATGAGTTAAAGCAATGTATATGTCATAACTTGTTGATCATATAATTTTTACAGTGAAGTAGTTAAAGACACTTAATATAAAGTGGGTTCAACATTCAAAGTCTTTCTTTTAAAAATTGCCTTACAATTTATCCCATAACAACATCTAAATATTGCCATTTAAATGAAAAATAACAGTTCTGCCCCCAGTTTCACAAACAAGGCTTAAGTCTAGTCTAGTCACAGACTAAAATGCATGTTTGAGCTGTTTTAACTGAAAGCAACTTGCACTGAAATTTCTTAAAATATGTCAGTGCCATTTTTTGTCTCAAGTTTTTTGTAAGGCACATTTATAAAAGCTACTTAAATGTCCTATAATTGAACTAAGGAATAATCCTGGCTTAATCTAAGCCCTGTCTGTGAAACCAGGCCCTTGCATAAGGAAATTAATTTCCTTATGCAAAACAAAGGGCTGAAATAACATACATTTGTCAATGGGTGGCAGCATTGCACAATTTGCTGCCCTAATGAGGAAATTATATCAAATCTCATTCCACCTAATCAATACATTGTATATGCAAACTAAATAAAATTACAAATATTATGTGAATTTCCTGCATTAAACATTTAATATGACATGATTTTATTTTTGATGACCATATACAATCCTTCAAAAAGTGAAACGAGGAAATGCCCTTTCATGATATGATGCATCTTTCAGTGTTGAAGCAGGGCGACTCCTCTCTGTTCTTTTCTATTTCGACGAGAAACACGGTCCCTTTTCCTGTTCACAAACAAAGAGAAAAATGCCCATTATAATTTGAGTAACTCTTCAATTAGGGCCAAATTTGACTACTTGGGAATTTATTTTATTTTATTTATTAATCTTAAAACATTTGTTAAATGCCCTGAAAAAATAGAGCATCAAAGAAAGAATTAATAAATAATCAATAGCCTTGAAGTAGGTACGTATTTTTTTGTATTTTGTGTGGTGGTATGAATTTTGACATTGTGTATGATGGACATTTTCACTTATTGGGAAAAAGTTGGATAAGCCTCATGTTGGTAACAAGTTAGCTTGCCTTGCAGTCAGTTTTACAAAATAACTGATGGTTACTGGTTTCATAATTTTAATACATTTTATACATTTATTATAGAGCAAAAATTAAAAATAGAAATTCTGTTAAATACACTATTAATATTAGAAAGAAACTAATATAAAAACACAATTAAAAAAGTTTAAAGCTATTAAATCTATCCGTTAAAGTCACGATGAAATCAAATATGACAATTCTTATTTTTTCATGGAATATAGTATTCATTATAAAGGATTGATCTGTGCTCATCATTGTTGTTTTTTTATTCATGTGGCCTCATAATCTTTAGGCTAATTAAAATAACCTCTCCCACTTGTGGTGACATGATGTTTACTGGCTTGAGGGCGAGACAACCTACAATTATAATTGAAGACTCCCTGTGGTGAAACTCAAGTTAATGTTGTTTATACGTCTATGTGGTGTTTTAAATATATATATGTATATATTTTTTAAAACCAACCATGTGCAAATTCCTAGGTCAACTCCATTGCTGAGTATTTTCTCCTTAAAACTGCAGTGAACAAAAGATAGGCTGTTTCCGAAATCGCATACTCTCTTGTATAGATACTTATTTTGAATAATTACTCCACAACCGCTAAAAAAGTATGTTCTTTATAGTACGAGTTTGAGTGGAGGTTTGCATATTTATGGTCTGCGTATACTAAATGAAGCAAAGGTGTAGAGTTACATCCAAGCTATTTTAAGATGAAAATGTTTAAATGTGTCATTTTGGTGATCAAAGGGAAAAAAATATTGACTCAAAGGGGACTTAAACAATTATAAAGCACAACATTTTTAAAGGTTTAAAGCTATTATAATCTATCCGTAAAACTTGAATTGTCCCCATAAGAATGTAGTTTAATCAACTACAGCATTATACTATTCAGTGTATGTGCTGAGTTTCATTGTTTACCTTTGCCAAAGAAACAGCCCAAACATCAACAGCAATGATATCACATCAGCCGAGATCCATATTCCCATGTACGTTTTAGGCTCCTTTCATTATTACATGCATACAAAAACACACAAAGGATTCCAGACATGTTACATATTCAGACAAGCCCATGTGAATTATAAATGAGGGGGGGAAACAGCTTCTCTTTTATGGCACAATAGACAGTGATAGGTGAAAAGATAGGCTGAGATTTACCAGATGCCAGTCAGGCTTAGACATGTTTTTGAAGATGTGGCAGGCATTGGTGGTCACTGAACTGGCTCCAGAGCACCACAGTAATGAGAAGAGCCAGCGCTCATTCACAACCCACAGATTCACGGACACATTTTTTCCCCGCAGCTCACTGTCCAGCGAAATAAACAAAAATGTATGTGAAAAAACAAAACAAAAAAAACAACAACACAAAAATCTTCTCTATGCATGTGCCTTTGGCTCCACATCAGCGACCTTTTCGACAGGTCGCAACAAGCCAGTTTTCTGCACAATAGACAGGAGTGGCAGGGCCGTTTTAACGTGCAGTCTTATTCATCAGTCAAGCTTTTCTTGTTCAATTTGATTATTTCTTCATCTTTACTGTCAGGTAAAATTATAAAATGACAGGTGCACGCAACCGGACAAAACAGTGTCTGGAAAAGGCCTCATTAATCTTCATGTGTTGAAGTTTGGACAATCAGCATTCCTGCTACTATAATCATTATTAGATACATTTTGTGTGTTTAAGCTATAGATCAGCACATCGTTTTTCACAGCCTTTTTGTCATCTTTGTAAGAAAGTAAAACCCTGTGAGAATGATCCCTAAGGCTGTGAGATCACAACAGCAGCGGTAGCATCATGTCTCTGCATGTCAGATAAGCTGCACCAATCCTCCTACACTCACCTTATTTCATGAGCGCTCAGTGAACTATATTTCATATTCAGGAAGCTTCCACCATCCGCATCCATTTCGTTTACCACATTATATACCTGCTTGAACCCTGGTGAGATATTTCTCACATTGTGTCTATATTCTTGGGGAAGCCACCATATCTGAAAGTGATACACAGCATTAAAATTACATTTAATGGTGCAAAAGCGGAAAAAAACACACACACACACACACACACACACAAAAGAACAGCATTAATCATTTTGGACAGTGAATTTTATAACAACATGTAGCATTCATAAAAGGCATGTTTTTTAGGGCCTTAGGGTTAAGATTAAACTCAAAAAACTTAAAATAGAAATGTTGCCTATTTATCTGAAATAAAATTACTTTATGTTGAAGTACTAAAATTACCCAAACTAAAAAAAAAAAAAAAAATGAAATAATAAAAATGAAAAACACATTGTAACAGAATTATTAAAACTTAAACTAAAATTAAAAAGAAAACTAAAAACAAAAAAGCTAATTTAAAATATTATTAAATACTATACTAGTATATAAATAATACTGCTACAAATAAAAGATTTTGTCACTTGGATGCTAAGAAATTATGACATTTCTGAAAGCTTAATGGAAAAATATCTTAAATTAGAAAATGGTCACAGAACCATTTTCACAAATGGTCTCAGACTTTCGGACCCCGCTGTATACAGTAGACAATATTACCTTGTCTGGTGAGATGCCTGACTTTTTGATAGTGTCAGTGGTGTAGTAGGAGTCGCTGTTGTGGAATCCTGTTGAGTTCTTCTCATTTTTTAGGTCAAATATGAGGGAGACATTATGCTTTTTGGCCATGAGCAAGAGCTCAAAAAAAGATGGTACTGTCTGGTTGTCAGCCTCTCTCTTCTCTTCCTCTGAGAGCGAGGAAACTGACTGAAGTGGATCTGTCTGTATTTGAAAAACAAAAGATCTAATTTTAAACAAATTTGTCATTACACTAAAACAGACCATCTGAACATCAAATGCAAAGTGAGAATTTTTTTCCTATCTGCTCAAACTGGATAAAGCTGCAACCTCAGTTCAGGTCAAGGTTGTTTTGCTAGTAATCTCTAACCAAAACATACTCCTTCCTCTTTTTATGGTGCCTGTGAAACAGGGGCGTAGCACCAGATGTTGGGCCCCGGTCACAGAACCAAGGGATGGGCCCCTTACAACACCGCTTTATTTTCACTATTATTCAAAACTTTTTTTTTATTTTCACAAGGTTAAATTCAGAGTACCAATTACAATAACATAGCAAGAAATTTTAAAACAGACTAATTTTAACTATTTAATTTATTATAAAATAAAAAAATTAATTAAATAAGTGAATTGTTAACATTAATAATATAAATGTAAATAATAGCTCTGGCCTTCAAATATTTCTTAAGCGGACGGGAATTCTGATTTGTCAACTCAGCCAATCACAGAGAAGTCTGTTGAGCATATAACTTGCAGTGCTCAGCGCTACAAACAGGAACGCTTTGTAAACGTGGATCGTTTGAATCTCTTTTACTGTCTATGGTTTGAATGCAGCCGTCTATCTGCGTGTGTCTAATTAAAGGGTTAGTTTACCCAAAAATGAAAATGATGTTATTAATGACTCACCCTCATGTCGTTCCAAGCCCGTAAGACCTCCGTTCATCTTCGGAACACCGTTTAAGATATTTTAGATTTAGTTCGAGAGCTTTCTGTCCCTCCATTGAAAATGTATGCACGGTATACTGTCCTTGTCCAGAAAGGAAATAAAGACATCATCAAAGTAGTCCATGTGACATCAGTGGGTTAGTTAGAATATTTTGAAACATCAAAAATACATTTTGGTCCAAAAAGAACAAAAACTACGACTTTATTCAGCATTGTATTCTCTTCCGGTTCAGTTGTCGAGCCGCGTTCAGTGACGCTGATGACGTAAGACGCTGCTGACGTGTTATCAGTGCGCCGAGCTTCGTTTACAGTCTGAGGGAGACGCACACTGTAAACAAAACAATCTTCGCAAACATGTCTAAGGATTTAGACACAGAGGAAGACTTGCATTTTTTTGCCCAGCCATATTTATTTGAACCCGAATACACGGACACACCAGATAACACGTCAGCAGCGTCTTACGTCATCAGCGTCACTGCGGACTCGTGAACGCGGCTCGACAACAGAACCGGAAGAGAATACAATGCTGAATAAAGTCGTAGTTTTTGTTATTTTTGTACCAAAATGTATTTTCGATGCTTCAAAAAATTCGAACTAACCCACTGATGTCACATGGACTACTTTGATGATGTCTTTATTTCCTTTCTGGACAAGGACAGTATACCGTACTACATTTTCAATGGAGGGACAGAAAGCTCTCAGACTAAATCTAAAATATCTTAAACTGTGTTCCGAAGATGAACGGAGGTCTTACGGGCTTGGAATGACATGAGGGCGAGTCATTAATGACATAATTTTCATTTTTGGGTGAACTAACCCTTTAAGTCTCTGTCCTCAGTAAAACCGTGCAGAAAGACTGGTATCGTCACATTGCACAATTTAATTATTTACTTTGTATAAAGTACCGGTAGGCTTCTTTTGACCACACTACTTCACTGAGGTAAAGGGATAATTGATAAATTACAGTTACACTTTTCTCTCGCAAGCCTCCCCATTCTTCCTCCCCCCAAAAAAAATAGTCAGAAGTTGTCTGCCCTCCAGCAGCTCTCTTTCCTCTCTTATCTTTTTTGATAACCTGATTAAGGCTTCATTTTTTTGTAGTGCGAGGCTCCTTTCCATGCCACAAGCTGAATTTAACCGCTGGACTACAAGACCAAACCATTTCTGCTTTTGATAGGGGGATCTCTTACATTTGAGGGCACAAGCTGCTAGGCAAATAAAGAACTGCCATATTCCTGGCCGCGCTCTTAAAGTATGCGCTGACCAACTGGCCGATGTATTTACTGATATATTCAATCTTTCGCTACTCCAGTCAGTGGTCCCCATCTGTTTTAAAAAATCTATCATTGTCCCTGTTCCTAAAAAATCCAAGGTACTCTGCTTGAATGATTACCGCCCGGTAGCACTAACGTCGATCATCGTGAAGTGCTTCGAGCAGTTAATCAAAGCTCACATTATTGACTCTATGCCTGCGACTCTGGACCCGTACCAGTTTGCCTATAGACCTAATAGATCTACAGAGGATGCCATCTCTCTGTCACTTCACTCTGCCCTCTCTCACCTAGACAAAAAGAACACGTATGTGAGAATGCTGTTCATAGATTACAGTGCAGCATTCAATACCATTGTGCCTCTTAAGCTTGCGGTGAAGCTCAGGGAACTGGGTCTTGACACCGCCCTGTGACATAGACTGTCTTTTATCACTGTCTTTTTATTTTACATTTGCTACTTAGCTAACTTGATTTTAGCATATTATTATTTACATATTATTTAGTTTATTATTTAGTTGTACAGTATTTATTTTACTGTTAGTATATTTATTTACCCATGTGGATGTGATAGGAGGTTTTTATCGGCAACGTTGGGGGGTGGGATCTAAGCATTTCATTACATAACTTGTTATTGTAATGACAAATAAACTACCTTGAACCTTGAACATTTCTCAGTTTTACGGATGGAAGCCCGATAGCATATTATTATAAGTAACTATGTGATTTTGTCATTTTAATATTATGCATTATCAACATATCTTTGTGGGGCCCCCCTCGCCGTGGACCCCTGTTACTTAGTTCCACTATTACCCCGTCTGACGATATTGTGCTGCTTGAGGCTGCTTTTCCCCCCAAATGCAACTGCACATGAGCTGCCTTTACAACAAATATTCTATATAATATATCACTTTTTATTTCTACTCTACTGTTGTATAACAGCAATTACTGTATCAAATGTGTTATAAAACTATATATAAATGAAAACTTATATTAAATTAAATACAGATGTTATCAATATAAAATAAAAATAAATCTTTGTCCTCACTCTTAAAAACCATTCGCCTGCATTTAACGTCTGTAACTCTTCCAATGTGAAGTTAGTATGCGTGTCGCCATCTCGACCTGGAAATTTCTTCTTCACATCAGTTGTTCGCAGCAGAAAGCTTGTATTGTGGTCATGCATAAGAAAAGGCTTCATGTCCTTGCTGAAAAAATATAGACAAGTGTATTAAATCACACGCACACAAACATACAGAGGTGGACAAAGTACACAACTTCCTTACTTGAGTGAAAGTACAGATACTACTGGTCAAATATTACTCCGTTATAAGTAAACGTTGTAAAGACCAATTTTTACTTAAGTAGGCCTACTTAAGTATCAAAAGTAAAACGTAAATGTCAATGCATTGTTTTATTATTGTTGCATTGTTGTACAGTATGTACTACTTACAATACCTTATGCCACTGAATCTATGCCTGCCTACCTACCCTCATATTAATATAAAATGTATTTCTAGAACACAGTTCTAATAGTGGGATTGAATGTGAGATTGAATAAGTGCACTCAAAAACATCTACAATGGTTTCGGACACCCAAATGGCTGTTCCCTCAAACAGTGCCCATAGTTTTTTGGCTTTTAGTATGAATATGTTAGCCTTACTGTTATCTATAAGCTAGTGTGCTCCAAAACAACGACAAATTCGCATTTAGAAGACCAAACCCAACGTTGAAAATGAAAACCAGGTTGATGTCAGAATCCAACGCCAGATTGACATTCATCTCCATCATTGGACAGACGTTGTATTATGGTTGAAAATTAAAATCGGGTTGACGTCAGAAACCAACATTAGTCGGGTTCTGACGTCAACCCGACTTTCATTTCCAACCAAAATCCAACGTCTGTCCGATGTTGGATGTTGACGTCAATCTGATTTCATTTCCAACCAAAATGCAACCCCTGCAACCAAAATCATCCGTTTACTACTTTACTACTTTCTACTCAAGGACCTTGACAGAATTGTAGTGGAGTAAAAAGTATGATATTTGTCTTTCAAATGTAGTGAAGTTAAAGTAAAAAGTTTCCAGAAAAAATAATACTTAATTAAAGTACAGATACTCAAAAAGTGTACTTAAGTACAGTACTCAAGTAAATGTACTTTGTTACTGTCCACCTCTGCAAACACACACACACACACCCACACTAGCAAGTGTATAGTGCTTCTGAACAGAATCTGATACTTTTACCTGAGTTGCACATCCGTTTCAAAAGCCACCACGCCACACTCCAAACTCTTCCTGAATGACATCATGGTATTCTCTGGAGCCAGCTAAATACATAATTAACACACACATTTTATATATATAAATGTTTTAAAAGGACAAAAGAAATCACTTTTTTTCCAGAAAGAACCATTAATTTACTACATAAATATGTTCAGGTTTCCATGTCATGTATAAACAAAAAAGAATTCAGAGCTGTATAGCTTGAGTTCTTCACACGCCTCTGTTTTTATTCACATTTAACCTCCAGTCTCCTGGTGAGCGCAGGAAGATCAAACCTACAGAGCTTCAGATGTCAAAACACCTCCTCCACCTTTCATGCCAATGGAATTTATCAGGTTGTGTTTGAATTGTAGACTGTCAGCCGTAAAAATTATATTTCTGAATGAGGACTACATGTTTTGCAATAACTGTATATGTTTTCATTGTGATTATTTAATCTATTAATTGCTTATGCTTGATAAATCTTCCAACAATTATGAGCAGACTGACATGCTAATGAAATAGATTCCCCCACGTTGATAGCTTACAACCTGGGAACTATGCCATAATCATCATAATCCTAAACGGATTCAGAAACTACAGCAGATGATTCATCCTGAGGCATGTCTAATTTATTCTAATAAAATAATGTAATTCATCCTGTAGTTCAGCACCGACATGAACAAAAACAGCAAAAACAAGATTTTGACGGGCACACCAGTGTAAACATGAGCTAATACACGTTAACAAAAGGTAGGAATGTCTCAAAATGAAAGTTACACTGTCACTTACCATTGGAGCGCCACGATGACCGACGAGGGAGGGTTTTGGGGGAAGATTATTGGTAATGCACGGAGAGCAGATTGCAAGAGGACACAGGAACACAGCAGCGGACACGAACATGAAGGTCATCATTATAAAAACCTTACCAGCTATACAGGCAAAAACACACAAAAATATTCAGTAGGCCTACAACATTCTGACATTTGAAAATAAATCATAATTAAATGTAGGCCTTAGTGTTGTTTTTCACATTTACACCGAATATCTCATAACTTTCATTAATATGCCGCATCAGCAAATATACAATGCTTTATTGCACGGCTCTCTGATTAGTTCTGATTGGTCAATCGAGGCATTCAGAGGTCTGATATTTTCCTAATATTTGCTGTCGTCAATGGAAACACTGTCACTCTTCTCATCCGGGTAATTGAAACTGGCACTACTTTCATCTCTCTATCACACTGCAGACCCTCTCATGTTTTTCCCAGCGAGAGAGCTGGAATAACCCTTCCCGCAGCAATAGCAAATTAAAACGATCCAATCAATTCCTGATTGACAAGTCTCGCCCGACAGGTTTTATGAATATCTATTTCATTTCATTCCTAACAACAGGGAATTTCTGTTAGAAATTTCCGTTTCATGTCGTTAAGTTAAACTTACAGCCAACTGCAAAATGATTTAAATCAATATTTTAAGTAGCTATAGCTATGGAATAATTGACGACAGGTCGTTGAAATATAGAGGGAATGCATTAACGTCACTTTCCCGCCGGAACACGCCCCCCTTCAGCGGGACTGAGTGGCAGAAGAGCTGCTTCGTGACTGGAGCTAATAGGGGAAACTGCGACAACGCGAGTAAAACAAACTATTATCAGTTTAAACTAAAAGTTGGACTCGATATAGTGTTCCTTACATCTTATCAAAGATCCAGTGATCCATGGATATTGACATGCAGCCAGGAATCGTGTTTCCTGACATTTATATGTGCCTGATTTCGACGCCGGGGAAATAAATTAAGAAAATTTGCCTGTAACGTTTTATATAAATACAATATAGATAGGTCTAAATCCGAGTGATCACTTACATTAATGTTATACTGTATATCATCATATCGTCCAGCCCTAAAACTTGTATAGTTTTTTGTCAGTGTTTATTTAAAAACATCCAATTATGCAGAATATAGTCTGTTCTGTAGCTTTTTGCAGTCTGTAAAAATATACAGTACCTCAGATTTCTGCTCAAATCTAGTTGTACAGTCAATCGCAAAGCTCTTTCCCGTTTTAGATGCGTTTTGTGTGTTTTTCACGGCATTCACGCTGAAAACAAATGCTGCCGCTCAGTCTTTTTGCCACTTGTGGGCGTGACCGCATTCACTCCGGCCGACGGTGACGTCATGCGCATACCCTCTATTAGAAAAATAATGCGCGGCTGGGCTGTGGCCGTACTTCGGGTGTGCATTATTCCGCTTACATCAGATGATGTATTTTAAAGGGAAAGTTCATTTTGAAATTAATTTTTGGAATGTTTTAGCTTACCTCAAGGGCATCCATGTAGGTGTCTTTGTTTCCGCAGTAGTTTAAATTTTGATATTTTTAGGTCAAACCGTTCTTGTCTGTCTATGGCCAGGTCTATGGTAACTTCCTCAAAGAGCATGCATAGAGAAGTCCAAATTAAACATGATTTAATGACTCGTATATGTAAGAACACATTGATAGCCTAAGACACAAAACGAGTGGCTTGTGTGAAAAAAAGGAACAGTATTTATATCGTTTTTTTTACCTCTTGTAACCACAGCCACGTCCAAGTGATCTGAGGGCGCGGGCGCTTCGGTCTGCACAAGCACCGGAAGTGATCTCTCGCGCGTGTACGTCACTCATTGTTTACACAGAGATTTCGGAAGTGTTCATCCGTAATGGTTTTCTTTTACGACGGTTTAAACCATAGATATCCATAATAAAGGCTAGATGTCTCGTCCGTGCTGCTGGCCAAAGGAGGTCGATCTTGTCACAGGCAGCTCGCTCAATCGGTTATTAAAAAAAGTTCATGCACCATTAAAACACAATGTTACGAGTGAGCGAGCTGCCTGTGACAAGATGGCCGCCAGGTGCAGACGTCGACCTCCATTGGCCAGCAGCGCGCGGACGAGACATATAGCCTTTCCGGCGCTTGCGCAGACCGAAGCGCCCGCGCCCTCAGATCACTTGGACGTGGCTGTGGTTACAAGAGGTAAAAACGATATAAATACTGTTCGTTTTCTCACACAAACCGCTCGTTTCGTGTCTTAGGCCATCAATGTATTCTTACATTTACGAGTCATTAAATCATGTTTAATATGGACTTCTCTGTGCATGCTCTTTGAGGTGGTGACCGGAAACAAAGACACCTACATCTTGGATGCCCTTGAGGTAAGCTAAAACATACCAAAAATTAATTTCAAAGTGAACTATCCCTTTAAGACATTTGTCAAGTTTTTGTCATTAAAACCGCTCTTGTGTGTAGGACTAATTTCTTACGCATCTAATCCTGAGCCTCCGTTACTGATTCCAAAATGTCATTTTAGAGCTAGTAATTAGAGTTTTCAGCCACTGATAGCAGTCAAATAATGCAGTTATTAATGCACTTATGAGAGAGAGAGAGAGCGAGCGCATATGTGAATTGCCACTGCAAGAACAGAGCCGTTATTACACTGCTAGATAAATGTCTTGTAGCTTTCAAATTGTTAAACTATTACTTATAAAATTGTCAGAGCAGCACTAACAACACGTTTCAGTGAGATTGTGTGTCCATACCATAGGGTCCGTATCTATGGTCCGTACTGTAGGCCCATGTGTGGGCGTTTGAGTGAGAGAGCAGAAGAGAGTAGGCCTAGGCTATGCGAATAATTTGACGTTTTTATCTTATTGTTAACTAGGCTATATTTATTTGCTTGGTCAGTGTGGTTGTGTTTTTTTTTTTTTTTTTTGCTGTTGTAAGGACCTCTTGAAACAACTGAAATCATTTGGCGAAGTGATAACTGTAATGTGGTCAATACCTGCCTGGAACTTCTTAGCCATGCATCTCACCTTAGAACGTTCGTCAACCAATCAGATTCAAGCATTCAACAGCCCCATAATCAATATTTAATGTCCATGTTTTTATTTGGTGAACAGCCGTGAAATAAACAAGATAAAGTACAGTCAGAAAATATTACATCTTAATGTATTATAAGCTATAAGCAGGGCTGTTGCTAGCGGGACGAAAGGTGGTGACGATTCTAGATTTCAACAGAGGGGGAACCACAACACCCCCTATATATGCAATTTCAACTAAGAGGGACACCCTCCCCGGAACATGATTTCATGGGGGCCCACAGCAACAACCGGGGCCCCGGATACCCCAGCTACGGCCCTGATTATAAGCTGTTTTGGAGCCACTACTAACCAGCTGTTTGAGCTTTATGAAAACTCTTAAACACGAGCCAGCTGATCAAGGTCAAAGCCACTACAGCACACAGATGCAGGAAAGGAGCCGTGGCCTATGGGAAACCAAAGAGGGGATTTTCATACTCCATACAGTACAACAATAGTATTGTAACTGGAGATACAGGCACCTGAGTGTCAGTTCTATGATATATACAGAATAATGTTACATAATGTTGAGGGATATGCTTTCTCTCTGTGTGAAATATTACACTGCCATTTTAATGTAAAAGATAACATGGAATGCAATGAGAACCTGCTACAAAAACGAGAAAGACAGACAAAACACCAATACTGATATGTTGAATTGCTGAAGGCTTGTTTCGATTTCATACCTGAAATGACATATAGACAGTTTTCCACTCTTTTTCCCACTTTATACAAACTCCAGCTGTGCCAATTGTAACAGTGATGAGACCCAAAAACAGAAACACCTGAACAGAGAACAGAAAAATATTAACATTCATTCATTAACATGCAGTGAACTTCCTTTATGTTCTTAAAGCTGATTAACAATGATATAAAGTGTTACCAACGTTTTTTTAAAAGGTAACCAATATGAAATACTTTCCTCAACTATGGGCATATTTGGCCCGGAGTCTTTTTAATGCTAATTTCTTAGTTAGCATTTTATGTATCTTAATATTCATATTCACATATTATTTCTACACTTTCCAAATAATTAACAAAATACAGCTTACTAAACATTTATTAGGGGCTAAATTGTTCGTTTCTGTGAAAAGAAGCTCTGGAACAGCCATACCTAAATTTAAAATGTATATTTAAAAAAATAATTTTTAAATAAAAATGCACAAATAAATATTTATTTATTTATGAAAAATATTCAATATTTTTAATTATCATTTAAAAAAATATTGTTTTATTAATATTTTCTCTAGGGGTGGGGGAAAAAATCGATTCTTAGATGCATCGCGATGCGGACGTGGACGATTCTGAATCGATTCACAATTGTCAAAAATCGATTTTCAAAAAAAAAAAAAAAATTTTTAGATATATATTTATAATAACGTAATATTGACGGAACGCGAAAGACGGAACTCTGAAGCGCGGAAGTGCAGTGGCCGGACCGTCTGTGGCGTGCACGTAACAGACGCGGACGCGATGGCTGAGCGCCAAATCCAAACACCCTCCTCGTTAAAAGCTGACGTGTGGAAATATTTTGGCTTCTGACGTTGAAGGGGGAAAGGAGCTGGACAAGAGCCACACTAGTTGTAAGCTTTGTAGAGTAAAAGTAAAATATTTCGGAAACAAGACACATATGAGAAGCCAAATGACACGTTTCCAGCCAGAGGAGGAAAAACACTCGGCTGTAACGTTACCGGTCGTTGTTATATTATTAATTTACTACAAATATGCTCCTGCTAGTTCAGACACACATGTATTTTCCTGTTGGTTCTTTGCAATGTTAATAAAATATATTGTACGTTAATTCTTTATGGGTCATTACTTTCTACTTTTAAAGCAAAGTATTTATAGTCACACACACACAAAAAAAAGATTCTGATAATCGATTTAGCATCGAATCGCAGCCCTCTGAATCGTAATCGAATCGAATCGTGAGGTGCCTAGAGATTCCCACCCCTAATTTTCTCATTTGATTTAAAGTTGGACAGCCTGTGGAACACGGCTTCTGTCATATGTGGGGGAAATAATTATTTGATCCCCTGATGATTTTGTAAGTTCGCCCACTTACAAAGAAATGAAGGGTCTATAATTTTTATGGTAGGTTTATTTTAACAGATAGAGACAGAATATCAACCAAAAAATCCAGAAAAACACATTATATAAAGGTTGTAAATTGATTAGCATTTGATCGAGTGACATAAGTATTTGATCTGTAATCTGCCTCCCACAGATTGGTTATGTGCCCATGTGGAACACAGAATAGTCCTGTCCTGTCACTTTAAGAAAGTACTCCTAATGTCCTAATGCCAGTGGACGCCTGTCCACAGAATCTGTATCTTCCATTCCAACCTCTCCACCACCATGGGCAATACCAAAGAGCTGTCAAATGTCAGGGACCAGATTGTAAACCAGCACAAGGCTGGAATGGGCTACAAGACCATCAGCAAGAAGCTTGGTGAGAAGGAAACTTTTGTTGGTGTGATTATTCAGAAATGGAAGAAATACAAAATGAACAATCAATCGCCCTCGGTCTGTAGCTCCATGCAAGATCACGCCTCATGAGGTAAGGATGATCATGAGAAAGGTGAGGGATCAGCCCAGAACTGCACCAGAGGAGCTTGTTAATGATCTCAAGGCAGTTGGGGCCATAGTCACCAAGCAAACCATTGGTAACACACTACACCACAATGTATTGAAATCCTGCAGCACCCGCAAGGTCCCCCTGCTCAAGAAGGCACATGTAGAAGCCTGTCTGAAGTTTGCCAATAAACATCTAAGCACGGAGGTGGAAACATTAAGCTCTGGGGTGGTTTCTCTGCTAAGGGTACAGAACGACTTCACTGTATTGAGGGACCATGTACCATCAAATCTTGGACGAGAACCTCCTTCCTTCAGCCAGAACACTGAAGATGGGTCGTGGATGGGTCTTCCAGCATGACAAGGACCCAAAACATACCGCCAAGGCAACAAAGGAGTGGCTCAAGAAGAAGCACATTAAGGTCTTGGAGTGGCCTTGGCCTAGCCAGTCTCCAGACCTTAATCCTATAGAAAATCTGTGGAGTCAGCTGAAACTTTGAGTTGCCAAGTGACAGCCAAGAAATCTTAAAAGCACACTATGCAGGAATTCCATTTTTGTCAAACAGCAACCCCTAGAGTCGCTGTGGAGTACTTGTATTTAACGTTACTGCCGTAAATACCACTCGCGCAGAGCGTGACATGGCGTCACGTGTTACATAGTATACAATAGTACATTGTGTTTAATTTGTCGTTTAATGAGATCTAATATATGTTGTTAGTGGTGAGAATTTTCACGTGAATAAATACATAGATTCAAGTCTGACTGTTATCCCCACGTTACTTTAATGGTCCAGTAACAGAACTTTTGCCAAGCATGTCAGAGGTTCTAGGTTCTAATCAGCACTGAGTAGTATAGTTTTTTTGGTAACACTTTACAATAAGGTTCATTAGTTAACTACATTAGTTAACATTAACTAAGAATGAACAATACTTCTTCAGCATTTGTTAATCTTTGTTAATGTTAATTTCAACATTTATTAATACTTTATTAAAATCTTGTTAACATTAGTTAATGCACTGTGAACTAACATGAACAAACAATAAACAGCTGGATTTGTATTAACTAACGTTAACAAAGATTAACAAAAACAGTAACAAATGTATTGCTCATGGTTAGTTCATGTTAGTTAATACATTAACTAATGTTTAATAAATGAACCTTATTGTAAAGTGTTACCGTTTTTGTCCTCATCAAAACCGATTGTTTATTAGTGGTTGTATATCAAGCAGGGACACGTTTTTTTTTGTGCATTATGTTTTGTGATTTCACCGTAACGAATATAGAGAGTCTCTCCACAACTGATTGAAGCGCGCGTCCGTGTGAAGACTGTGCGCGAGTCACACCAGAACACTGTATCCGCGCCACTGATCGCAGCGGCAACGAGCACTTTGGTCACTTGATTTCAAAAACAACACATTTCAGATCGCCTCTTATTTAACAAACAAACGAAATGAATGCTCTTCTAGAGTTAACTGGAAATGTTTTATTTATTTGTATTGGTACATCCGTGCCGCGAGATGTTTCAAAAGTGGTGGGGACACAATCGACCCTGGCAAAAAGTGGTGGGGACATGTCCTACCCGCAAATTACGCCTATGCTCATGTTTGACTCCTCACTCGGTCAGTCTGCCGAGACGGCCACCATTCAACCCGAAAAAAGTCATATAAGCATTCCAATAAAGCTAAAAAAACTGCATAGTTCCCCTTTAAGGATTTTGAGAGTATCTGTAAAGAAGAGTGGCACAAAATCCCAAAAGATGTGTGCAAACCTGGTGACCAACTACAAGAAATGTCTTACCTCTGTGCTTGCCAACAAAGGTTTCTCCACCAAGTACGAAGGCATGTTTTGCTTGGGGTTCAACTACTTATTTCACTTACTGAAATGCAAATCAATTTATAACCTTTATATAATGTGTTTCTTCTGGATTTTTTGGTTGATATTCTGTCTCTATCCGTTAAAATAAACCTACCATAAAAATTATAGACCGTTCATTTCTTTGTAAGTGGGCAAACTTACAAAATCAGCAGGGGATCAAATTATTATTTCCCCCACTGTACTTCCTTGTGCATGTTTTGGGACTTTTGTTATATTTCCTGTCTTGTGTGCCGGGCAAATTCCAATCGGAAGTGAGCATCCCTATGCGCCACTAAGTCCGAAGGGCAGAACAACACCATGAATAAATTAAATTACTTCTTTGAAGTGACCATTGCATGGTCCCTTCGCTAACAGACACGTGGAAAGGCTTTCGTAAAAGGGATTCAGTTGTTCACTTCGTTTGGAACGCTCCTTTAAATGGCGTCCCCTTCCCGAAGTGCCTTTCAAGGGTGCAAAAATGCAGTTTGGAATGTGCTGTTAAGTTGTCCTTTGTAGTTTTCCCTTTTGATTAGTCTCCCCAGGTGTTTCCCGTTACCTTGTTTAGCTTGTTACCTCCTGTGTATATCCCGTGTTTCTCTTGTGCTTTGTCAGTTGATGTTGGGATGTTCCTGTGTTTGGTGTTCCTTCTGGTTTCCCTGTTTTGAACTTGCTTCAGTTTGTTTATTAAACGTACTCTTGTGCACTTCGATCCTCGTTTATTAAACATACTCTTTGCACTACAGACTGACCAGCTATGGATCTAGCAGGAGTTCGTTTTGTTCTTCTTCGCCCGAGCAAGCGACCTCTTGAGGACCACACCCGTAAGTTTTTTGACTCCGCTTTTCATTCTCACTTCCTGGAAAATACACTCATAACGTTTTATTGTTCTGGACTCAATGAACTCCTCAGAACTCAACTTTCATGTTAGTCCTCAAGAGACATTTTGTGAGTTTGTGGAGCGGGCTATACAACCCAAGCTCCAATGGCCACAGAACTTGGCCCACTGCGGACCCCAGCTGTGATGACTGTCATTGCAGAGTCCTCAGCCATCATGGGAGCCACGCCAGAGTTTCCAGTGGTCAAGTCCTCCGCACCCGAAGCTAAGGCCAACGGCAGGCCCAAGACATCTGAGACCGGATGTCTAGTGTGGCGGATCCGTCGCTGATGTCGGTGCGGGCAGCCTGGATGCCCAGTTCAGCGCTCTCAAGCCCGGCGGCCTCTGCACTCCCTGTGATGGCAGTTGCCATTTTATGTGTTTGGGCTGCACACTGAGGTGGCTGCGGCTGACGCCTCTGTTATGGCCGCGTGCGCTGTTTCTGAACTCTCTGTGCCCCCTGATGCCTCTGTTATGGCTGCACGCACCGTTTCTGAACTCTCTGTGTCCCATCTGCTCTTCTGTGATGGTCATCTGCTCCTCTGTGGTGTTCTTGGGTCCTGCATGCTCCGCCCTGACCCCATGCTGGCCACCTGCTCATCCTGCATTGCCCTGGTCACCTCACCCCACCATACCAGTTCCGCTTTGGTACCACAATTCCTTTGCCACTCCACAGACCTGGCCCACCATCCCTCCCCTGGTCCGCCTCCGCTCCACCATCCACCTGGACTTTTGTTTTTAGGTGTTTCTCCCTGTGGATGTCTGGAAGCTTCTTTTAAGTGGGGGGCTCAGTCATATAGTCCCTGTGTGTGTTTTGGGACTTTTGTTATATTTCCTGTCTTGTGTGCCATGTTTGTTGTCCTTTGTAGTTTTCCCCTTTGATTAGTCTCCTGAGGTGTATCCCGTTACCTTGTCTAGCCCTGTGTATATACAGCCCTTGTTTTTCTCTTGTGCGTTGTCAGTCGATATTTGGATGTTAGTGTGTTTGGTGTTCCTTGTGGTTTCCCTTTTTTGGACTTGCTTCAGTTTGTTTATTAACCCTTAAATGCATGAATGTTTCACCAATCATTATTACATATTCGGGTCTTTAGCGACCCGGATCTATATCTAACATGGATGGATCTCTACCTGTCGCTATAATTTAAAACTCTCCTGATGTTAGAGCATATTAAAGCATATTTTGTTACCCTAACAAAATGTATTTATTATTTCTTTTTGTTTATAATAAATTGATTGAGGAATACTGAGAAGATTGATGTCTATCTTAAAAAAAAAATATATATATATATATGTACTTTTTTTTTGTTGAAAAGTTGCGAAAATTAAGACATGGCTAAAAGTTTCATACAATGTGTCCTTCATACAACAAATACAAAAAGTAAAATAAAATGAAATAAGAGTACCTTATGCAGCCAGTGCAAATTCAAGGGCTCTCCAATTACAAAATGTAGCAATCCAAATACCTGAAATAGATGAAGAATGATTTAATTTGAACAACCATTATTTACAAATGCTACCCACTGAGCAATCTGGTTCACATTATTTCCTTCTTACCAGTAGAAGTAGACAGTAAGCGGCTAGCACAGCAGAAATGATCATCACTATCATGTACCAGTTCACCCATGTTTTCAATTTTTCAAAGGCACGGCTGCAAGAGGAAAATGAAGCAATATGGCACAATGACATGCACAATCAGTTATTATTACTGAACAAAGGGGGAAGCAACATGCCAATGGATTTACAATTATAATCATATAATTTGCATATTGTGGAATTGTGTTTATTTGCTCACTCGTTTACATCGGTGCGGTCGTTGAAGGCAATAAAGCAAACGTACATCCAACTCAGGGCAAGTATGGACACAAAAGACAGAAAAGAGAACCAGCAGCATGGCCTCTACAAACAAAGACAAAACAAGACTGCACACTTCAAAAATGGTTTCTCTTTCTCTAAGTCATTAAGCTCTTCTCTTTATCCGGTTTAAAAAGAATTAAATAATAGTTTTCCCTGATCACTCCTCCTGTTTGCGTGTGTTGTTTCAAAGGGATGATTTTGCAACAAATGAGAGCCTGGGGGCATCGTGTTCTCACGTCAAGTTTCGCTTACTGATTCGAATATCCAAAAGTGGGGCCAACCTCTAAACCAAGTGGTTATTGTAGCTGATTATTACTAGTCCATTCCACATAGGATTTAAGAAATATCTGAATGCAGCGGTAATTGTTTCTGACACAAATCAAAAGAATTACTTTTATTCAGGCTTCTAATTAACATACTTTTCTGCCTGTTATGATCATCATCAGTCTCCACAGCTTTGTACTCGCTTAAAAGGAAAGAGCATTAACAAGATAATTGCTCATTAAAGAGGCATTCAATGAAAACTATTTTCTTTGATTCTGTTCTAAATTTATTATGGTAAACTATTCCGCCTCTCTCAACTGATTGTGCGAACAAAAACAAAAAAAATCAAAACAAATTGAAAAGATGTCTGCAAATCATACTAGGAGAGAATGGATGCATGTTTGATGTTACCATGTGGAAAAATGTGATTGAAAAATTCAAAGTGTCAGGGAAAATTGTCGTTTATCTGAATAAAATCTCACATTTTGTCTCTTATTATCACTGTTCCAATGACAACTGTAGATCCCTCTGAGGCAGGTTTTGGCAATCGAAATCATTGTTTTTTCCACATCAAATGATTCCAGTTGAAAGTATGCAGATGAATTGGGGTCTTGTCAGGTAGGTAGTGAGGTTTACCCTTATTTATACAGGTGTTTGATATGAATGACTCACTGCTTCACACCTGAACCTGAGAAGGAGAGAAGAGAATACAAGATGTTTGTTATGCAAGGAAACCTGTTCTTTAGCTCAAAAAAGAGCGGAGCTCACAATTCCTGGCTTAGTTAGTCAGGAAAAGTAAATTACAATATCGGAGAGAGGGAGAGAGGGAGGGAGGGAGAGAGGGAGGGAGGGAGGGAGGGAGGGAGGGAGGGAGGGAGGGAGGGAGGGAGAGGGAGAGGGAGAGAGAGAGGGGACAAGAGCAGGTATGGAAAGGTTCAAATGTAATTATAAAGGAGTGGCAATGCTTTCAAAAGCCCTGAGGCATAAAACTACAAGACAACCACAGTGAGAAAGATCTCATATCAATCACTCATTCTAATAAAACCATGGAATGTTCTACCCCAGTTTAAGTTCAATGCTGCAGCTGTGCAAATGATAAATAACATATTTTAACTATATCTAATAAAATGTTGCCTAATGCTTGAACACAGTAAATTTGAGTATATAAATTGACATAAGATATTAAAGATTATTCTGAGCAAGTAAAAATTACCTTGCACCTGTTTTGACAGGGCATGCATATAATGAAACATAATCTGCAATGTTATGAATACTTTTCCTGTATGAGGTGTTTTTGTTTTTAGGTTCAATGGATGTGAAACCCATGATCAGATAAACATGTCTAAGCAATAAGTGTCTTAAGTGCTAAAGGCAACTGTGAGGCGATGGTTAGCACAACAGGATGGGAAATCATATTGGAACAAAAATGTACCGGTAATTAAAAAATACTTTAATGTGCTTGTGTAGAAGTATTTTTACACTTGTAATGATCAATGACAGTCAAAACACTGGATACATCTGGATGAATGCATGTTTCTCCTGACCTTAAATAACTTTTAATCTAAAGGCCTAAACATTAAATCAACAAAACTAAAACTATATATCCACATTAAAAAGTTCGGCAAATTTTTTATAAATGAATAATTTTATTCAGCGAGTGTACATTAATATTAATCAAAGTGACAGCCATTATAATGTTACAGAAGATTCCTATTTCAAATAAATGTAGTTCTTTTTAACTTTTTATTCAAGAATCCTGAAAGAAAACTGTTTAAAATTGATAAAAAATAAGATCTAATTTCATGAGACACTGAAGACCGGAGTAATTGCTACTGAAAATTCAGCTTTTCCATCACAGGAATAAATGACATTTAAAAATATATTAAAACAGTAAAAAAGTTCGTTTTAAATGTATAATATTTCACAATATTGTATTTGTAATGTATTTTACATTATTGCTTTTCAAATGTCTAAAAAGCTCCCATAATAGCAAGATTTGTACAAATTGTTTTTTTGTAAAAGGAAAGCTGACAATAACACATAATAAGACTCAACAAGATTCATCTTCGCAGGAAACGCAAAAGTGCAATTATCATGCATCTCAAGATATTCACTCTTCCATCAGGTATATTGTCTGTCAGCCAGGTAAACTCCACAAATGCGTAAACATTACTTTATCAAAAAGCATAGTGGTAGAGGGTGATGTTGTGGTCCATAAGCCATGACAAAACATTCCCAATGCAATCACCCTGACACTGTCAGATCTGACTCACTGAAGTGTATCAGGGTCAGCAATTCCTGCTAATAGTTCTACATTATGCAATAAGGATACAAATATATCCTAAATTCATTACAAAAGTCAGTGAAAACTATGAAAGTACATCACACCCTGTAATCACTGCTGTGTACAGCAGTTTCTTGCTAAGTAACATATAAGCAACCTTTTAGCCAACGGTGACAAGCTTCACAAAATCCTGAGGCAACAAGTGTTCTTCTGGCTTGACAAAGAAAGAAAAGAAGCTTGTCAACAGTTGATGTTTTGGCTCTGCAGTAAACCCATTTAAGATCAGACATCAAGAACTTTGTCAACTGCAGCTTTTTATGATTAAACCTGTATTTGACAGTTTGCACAACAATAAAAACCACCCTGGGCCAATTAATGGATATCATTTTCTCACCACACCTCTCAGAACATGGTAAAAACTCCTTAGCCATGTTCATGGCTTAAGTTTGTATTTGTTTCAAATTATTATTCAAAGGGGTCTTGCAAAAATATTTCTTAAAATGTAAAAAAAAAAAAAAAGTCTGAAGGGATAGTAAAATTGAACATTTTCAAAAATTCTGTATTCATTTACTCACCCTCATGTTGTTCCAAACCTATATACATTTCTTTGTTCTGTTGAACACAAAAGATATCTTGAAGATTGTGGGAAACTGAACCGTTCTGGGGCACCATTGACTTTAATAGTTTTTTTTTCCCTACTATGGAAGTCAGTGGTGCCCTAAAGGGGCCTGGTTACAAACTTTCTTCAAAATATCTTCTTTTGTGTTCAGCAGAACAAAGAAATGAAAACAGGTTTGAAACAACTTGAGAGGGTGAGTAAATGATAACAGAATTTTCATTTTTGGGTGAACTATTCCTTTAAGCCAGTGGAATCATGTCTATAACTTTATACATCTTTAGTTTTGATTTTGTCGATATTCTTTTCATTCAAAGTTCCCAAGTGATTTTCTGAATTTATTGTATATTCATTTATCAGGGACTAATGAAATATAGGCGTGCAAATGTAAATGTATTGGCAGTGACAAATTCGCAAAGTTTGCTGCTTCAGAATACAATTTTTTCACGTTTCTGTAGTATAAATAAGCATTTCATACGTTTTAAAAGCTTTATTGGTTATTTATTTTTACAGCGTTGTCCCTTCTTCATAACCAAATTTGCTCTGGCATGCTGTGTATCAGGTTTGGGCCAAATCCTGACTAATGGAGATCCATTCTTGCCTTATTGGTGCTTGGAGGTGATCACAATTTGTGGGCTTCTGCTTGTCCACTCGCCTTTTGAGGACTGACCACAGGTTCTCTATGGGACTAAGATCCGGGGAGTTGCCTTGCTACAGATCCAAAATTTCAATGTAATGATCTCCGAGCCACTTCATTATCACTCTTGCATAGTGACATGGTGCTCCATCATGCAAGAAAATGCACTGATCATCACCAAATTGCTCCTGGATCATTGGGAGTTGTTTCTCTTGCAAGACGGTTTGATACCATTCTTTATTCATGGCAGTGTTTTGGGGCAGAATTGTGAGAGCCTACCTTGGATGAAAAACAATCCCACACGCAAGTCATTACAGATGGTCTAGGGATGCTATTGGCACGATACATGGTAATTTTCACCTTTTTTTCTCAGGACAATCGATTTTCCAGATACCCAAAACAGGGCTTCATCAGAAAATATTCTGCTGTCCAATCCTTGACATTAGGCCATTGTCCTAAAGTCTTGGCCTCACTCTGTGTGCAGATGCACTGACACCCACCGGCTAGCAATATTGAGCAAGTTTGTGACATAAGGTTCACTGGTGGTGACACGATTCTGTAGCCGACTCGGAAACGGTCCTGGCACCTGCTGGGCACTCTGGGACGTCCTGAAGCCTTCTTTACTGCAGTTAAACCTTTCTACTTCAAGTTCTTGATAATTTGGTAAACGGTTCTTTCAGATGCATTATTCTTTGCAGAAATCTTCTGAGCAGGTATCTTCTTTACTTACAAGATTGATAATATTAGAGAGAAAATTATAACCATGCAACCGTCTACTACAGTATCGCATCAGATAGTGCGTTGTAGTCTCCCTGAGGAAAAATTCCGTTCATTCATTGCTATGGGAGGAAGAATTGTCTAAACTCGTTAAATCATCTAAATCGACAACATGTATGTTAGACCCTATACCGACTAAGCTGTTGAAAGAGATGCTTCCAAAGGTCATAGATCCTCTTCTTAATATCATTAATTCATCTTTGTCCCTAGGATATGTACCGAAAACTTTTAAGCTGGCTGTTATTAAACCTCTTATTAAAAAAACACAACTTGATCCTAGAGAATTTGTCAATTACAGGCCGATCTCGAATCTACCTTTTCTATCAAAATTACTAGAAAAGGCAGTATCCTCACAACTATGTTCCTTTTTAGAAAGAAATGATATCTGCGAGGATTTCCAGTCAGGATTTAGACTGTACCATAGTACTACTGAGACAGCTCTCGTTAGAGTTACAAATGATTTGCTCTATATCATCCGATCGTGGTTGTATCTCTCTATTAGTGTTACTCGATCTTATTGCTGCATTTGATACCATCGACCACAATAATCTTTTAAATAGACTTGAAAATTATGTTGGCATTAGTGGAATTGCATTAGCATGGTTTAAATCATACTTATCTGACCGTTATCAGTTTGTAGCAGTAAACGAAGAGATGTCTTATCGATCAAAAGTTCAGTATGGCGTACCACAAGGCTCAGTACTACCGTTGCTGTTCACTCTGTACATGCTACCCTTGGGAGATATCATTAGGAATTAGTTTTCACTGTTATGCTGATGATACTCAGCTCTATATTTCTTCGCACCCCGACGAAACGCACCAATTCACAAAATTAAAGGAATGTATAGCTGATATAAAAATTTGGATGACTAGTAATTTCCTACTACTTAACTCTGAAAAAAACAGAGATTCTAATTTTTGGCCAAAAAAACTTCCTCACTTAATAACCTAGAATACTGTCTAACACTTGATGGCTGCTCTGTCAAGTCTTCGTCGTCGGTTAGGAACCTGGGTGTGCTCTTTGATACCAATCTTTCATTTTAAAGTCACGTTTCTAGCATCTGTAAACTGCATTCTTCCATCTTAAAAATATATCTAAATTACGACATACACTTTCAATGACAAATGGGGAACAGTTAGTTCATGCGTTCATGACATCAAGGCTAGATTATTGTAATACTATTATGGGTGGTTGCCCTGCACGCTTAATAAACAAACTACAGCTGGTCCAAAACGCAGCAGCTCGAGTTCTTACCAGAACCAGGAAGTATGACCATATTAGCCCGGTTCTGTCAACACTGCATTGGCTCCCTATTAAACATCGTATACATTTTAAAATATTGCTGACTACCTACAAAGCACTAAATGTTTTAGCTCCCCAGTACTTGAGCGAGCTCTTAACGCATTATAGTCCTTCACGTCTATTGCGATCTCAAAATTCTGTCCAGTTGATAATACCTAGAATATCAAAATCGACTGCTGGTGGTAGATCCTTTTCCTATTTAGCACCAAAACTTTGGAACAGTCTCCCTAACATTGTCCGGGAAGCAGACACACTATCAGTTCAAATCTAGACTAAAAACACATCTCTTTTACCTGGCATTCACATAGAACATTATACATTTCTATTATTCAAATCAGTTAAATGATTATTAGGCTGCATAGATTAGGTCAGCTGGTACCGGGGACACTTCCTACAACAACCAATGTACTCGTTACATCATAAGAAGAATGGCATCTACGCTAATGATAGTCTTTCCATTAATTTCCGAGGTTTACTGAAGTCAGCCGGATCCGGGCCGTATCCAGATTAGACGTGAACCTGCGCCTGGACACGACCACAACGCATCCCTGAAGTGCCAGCCTCATCAGCCCTGTGAAGGCCTCATGGACACCTCAACAAACTCATCTCCATACCGGAGTGATGACTCCAACCTCCAACCAGATGGAACTGGATAAATATTGTGAATATTCTGATCCAATCTGACTTCTGACCTGTAATGTTGCCTGAATCATAATCATACACTATTCGTTTGTTCGCCAGAGGAGAACTGGCCCCCGACTGAGTCTAGTTTCTCCCAAGGTTTTTTTCTCCATTCTGTCACTTGGAGTTTTGGTAGCCTGGTAATACCAAACTCTGCTACTTCGCTTTGCTTCGTAGACAGAGTCTGGCATGGCATAATTAAAAAGTGTTTTCTTTCTCGAGGGGGGGCGCTTGTCTGAAGTATAAAATCATTGGTGACCCGTAACCCAATCACATAACGTTTGGTTATGATGCGTGTTATTCGCCAGCTCAGCCGCATCGAACTTCCACTGTAAACACATGTATGATGCGAAAACGAAACCATCGAGCGAAATACCGGAGTGAACATGGCTGACCGAGTTTTGCTGCCTCCTTAACCTGATCCTCCATGAGTGCAACCAAGGGGGACACAATCACAACTATCGCCTTGCCGGCCTTTGGCCTGCCCAGTTTCTCGCTGACGATCGGTAATAGTTGATAAATTAAACTTATCCCAAAACCTGTCGGGAGTAGGGCCACAACATAACCTCCATTCAAAATGTTTAACAAACACTCTTCTTGTTCGGGCTTCAGTTTGCAAATGCCGGGAATATTCTCCACAACAAAGCGAATTGCATCCCGTGTCTCCATATCCGCGGTCACAATCTTAAACTCGGTGCTTAGCGTCTACGTCACGGCTCTCAGCCCACCCTCTGTTCGTTGATTGGCCGGCTGTTTTCAGGCCGGAGGAAAACTGAGAGACATGTCGATGTCTCAGGGTGCTTCTCAATTCTTATTTGTGCATCCTCGTTTCCTTTCCTCGCGTCTCAGCTCCACCCCCTGCAGGATGCGAGGGAAGGCTGCAAGGAAAGAAGATGAGGACGGAGGAATCGAATGAAAGTTTTTTTTATACTTTGGAATACTTGATCACTCAAGCGTCACTTCACTGCGTCATCAGCAGCGCTCAGAGGATCTGCCCTTAAGTTGTTGAAGTTTGGTTATTTAAGAAATTAGTAATAAATAATAATAATAAAGCAAGATACCCTGTTGAAATATGTGAGATGTGTGGTTTATATAAACTGCAAAGGTAAAGTATAAATTAAAATGATTGTGACCGACGTGAAGGGGGAGGAGAATTTATATGTGCGTCACGTTTAGTCGATAAAACACTTCTGCAAAGCATGCAACTGTGCATCCTCGCTCATAGCTCCTCTGGAAGCCTCCTCACTCCTCGATCCTCGCGGTGCAATTAGAGAATTGAGATGTCCTTCAAGATGGCTGAGCTCGATCGGTTTCCGGGTCATAGGATGGAGGACGGAGGATCGAAGAGACGAGGAGGGATATTGAGAAGCACCCTCAGACTGAGTACAGAAGCAAACTGAAATAGAGCGGAAGTACGAAGTCTGACGCAGTCAGGCTAGAGTTTTGGTTCCTTGCCACTTTTGCCTTGGCTTTTGGCTTGCTTAGTTAGGGACATTTAATATTCAACAATATTATTGATCAGCCTTTCTTCAGGTGCACGATGACGCAATTTTCTTCTAGAAACAAACTTGTATTAATTTCATGTTATCACTGTGAAGCTGCTTTAATACAATAAAAAGCGCTATATAAATAAAGGTGACTTGACTTAAGATAAGTTTGCTGGGAAAGTTACGTTTGCTTGTAAATACTTTCTTTTTAAGGAAAAACTGTGATATAACAATATTTTTATTTTCAATTGAGCACATGAAAGGAAATGCATTCAGCAGCTTGAAGACACAATACAAATATTTCCAGTTGCTAAGATTATTACCCCTGTGCAGACAGGTATAACAGAACTTTAAAAAAAAAAGACTAGTATGTCCCATTTCAACAGGGTCAAAAAATAAATCCTTTTCACATGTGGACAAACTACGCAGTATTTTCACAGCCATTGTGATCTTAGTAAAACACAGAAGAAACACATCAATAGCTTTACAACTTTCTCAAATCCACTCTATCATCATCAGGCTTTTACTGTATGTGCTTTTATCATTAGAAAGCAAAACTGATGAAAAGTGCCACAGAAAAAAATCGGACTATTGATAACTGTACAATTTAACATCACACGTGACACCTCTTTTATCGAAGTGCTTCTGTGAAAGTAATCTTTTTTATTTAAAGAAATGTTTATTTTAAATGTGAATAAAAAGATTTAAAAAAAAAAATATATGGTTGCAAGAAAGCAAATGAAAGGAAAGCAGCCAGCCTATGCAAAGCTATATGTAAAACCTGCACATAAATCAAACGACCAAGGCAGATGTTGGTGAACACAGTGCATGCGTTGACTATGTTGTGAAATAAAAAAATAACTAGTTTAATATAATTGTCATGGGATCACTGACTTTCACTTTCTTCATTAAACTTGACCTCAACAACCTCACAGGTAAACATTTCTGAGTGCAACAGCCTGCAGACTTATAAGTTGTTATTTTTTTAAAGGGGTTTAACGAGGTTAAACCATGTTTAAGGGGAAATGTGTGCTTGGATTTGTGTGTGATCAATATATATATATATTTCCTTGGATTTGTGTATATATATATATATATACACACACAAATCCAGGTAAACATTTAACAGAATCAAACATTTCCCCTTAAACATGATTTAACCTCTTGATAATGATTTGCAAAAAAAAAAAAAAAAGAAGAAGTTTGTTTTTCATTTATTTCGTATTAGAATGCACATATAAGCACTTTTTTAACATCCTGAATACAATTTTCAAACTGATTTTTTGCAACATATAGTAGCCTATAAACACATTTTTTAAATTAAATACTTAGAGTAATTCAAGTATTTAGAAAATTAAAGTATTTAGAAAATAACCTATAAGCACCTAATGACACGCTTAAGCACACCTGACAATATTCAGCTCACACATTTTCTCAATAACATTGGATCAGAACAGATAAGTCCGAGAGAATAAACTGAATTTTTAAGTACCTTACCTTGCTGAAAAAGTAACAAAAAGTTGATAGTGAAATCCAAATCAGTCTCTAAAACTTTAGCACTTTTCAACAGTCTCTGCACGTGAAGTCATGCTGAGACTTAAATCCGCGGATTGAATATTAATAAGGCGGTAACAATGAATGAGCTTTTCATTCCTCGTCGCTTTTATATGGAGCGACACCAATGCAGTGAGCCGTGAAGTGGCTGTTCCACTCCTCTCCAAAAGAGGGCGACATTCATAGTGTTTCTAACCATTAAAAAACACGAGATGCTACCTGACACACAAAATTAATATTCGTCTAATATGCAGTGACTGTAAATGCACTATATCCTGCCTATTGAGAACTGCTGCAGAAAGTAGCTTATTAATAACGTGTAACGTCATTCGAAGCCCATGCCGGAGCTCATTTTAAAAAAAGAGCCCCATGTATGATCTCAGATATATCTTAGATTAGTAATTAAATTAACTCATTCCTTTATTTACATTTGCTCAAAAATATAGGAATGTATACAACATGTAGGCATATAATGAGCAAACAAAAACAAATCAGTAATAAGGAAGAAAAAAGAGCATTTATATAAATTGAAATGAAACGAGAAATTTATATTCATTTATGGGTTATTTTATGTTACTTTATGTATTTCAATATAGCCAGTTTAAGGTGAAATGTAAACAAAAATGCAATGTAGCCTAATGCAAATGTTTTTCTTATGCTGTTTACATTTTGTGGATGTACTATGTACCAAGTCATATTTATTTATAGAATATGAATAATTAATAGAGAATTTATAAAACTTTTTTTCTTTTTTAAATAAGCATGGAGATTCAAAGTACTATAACAAGACACTGCATATTTTCTAAATGTATTGTTTTATTGAAATGTAACATTCAGCTTCAAATCTTGCCAAGAAGAGGTAGATGATGGGCAGCAAAAAGAAAACGTGTAGCTTACTATATTTTCAGTTGAAATATTGCAGAACATCCATTTACCACCTGCTTGGCTTTACAGCACTGTTGGTGATTTCCAATGTTCCATAGTTAATTAATTACTGAAGAAGACACTGATAGGCCTCCAGACTCCAGACAAGGCCATAGGGAAGATGGATTTTTACTCCATTGATTTTTATTCAGGCTAGGTTAATTTTTAGCAGATAATTTCTGATTAGGCACATACCTGAACGTCTTTCAAAAGCTGCTGAACATATCCTTGAAGTCCATTTTGTTAAACTGTAAAATAAGCAGCCTCAGAGCAAGTAGCCTAAGCCATTCATGATCTTAGGATGCTCTTGAAATTGAGCAACGGGACAGGAAGGGCAGTTGTCAGAGATGACCCAGAGGCCATATTTACTTCTCAGGATGAAATGCGAGAAACAGTTCCAACATCAATATTTTCTTTAGCTCTTAATAGTTTTTGTTGGGGAGAAAAAAGAAAGGGAAAAAAAAGTGCTGGTCACATGATCATTAAGAGGGCGGGGCTAATGGTTCTCTTGAGGAGTTCGTTCGTGGTGAGTAACACAAACACAGACAAAAACAAAACTGTCGAGCAAAAGCAGCTGTATACGTTAATGCCTGTCTTTAATTTTAGTGTGAGCATATTTGTAACGTCCGTTTATTCATTCATGTTTTGACCATTTTTCATGGCTATGGCTCATTGTGCATCGCATCTTGTGTTTATTGTTGAGTTAGCAAGCTAGCCTGCTGGACGTTAACGTTACTCGCTGTACAATGAGAACCGTAGAGAATGTATTTACATTCCTTTAATTATAAATCTTTGTTCATTTTATGCTTTAGTAATCAGTATAGTCACTGTTTTGTAAAGAATTACATTTAGTCTTTAAAAATAGAACGATCTCCTAAAGTACACCGAGGACAATCTGACGATAGTCATCTTCATGTCGCTGTTGTTGTTTCTCGCATCTTCAATTTCTAGCTCGAAAAACATGGACCAAAAAATACCATACGATGACTATCAACTGCCAGTAGTGTTTCTTCCGTCCTATGAGAGCCCTCCTGCATGGATCCCTCCACAAGAGGTGCTTCAACACTATTAATGCATGTTTTCATCTTTTCTTTTGTGATCATATTGATCTAATTTATATTTTTCTTCCTAATAATCAGAGGATACATCACCCTGACTACAACAATGAGCTCACTCATTTCCTACCTCGCACTGTAGTCTTAAAAAAGCCCCCTGGAGCACAACTGGGCTTCAATATTCGTGGAGGAAAGGCGTCGCAGCTCGGTATATTTATTTCAAAGGTGAGTTGTGTCAATTAAAACCTTCTTTGTTTATCAAAAGAACTGCCTTCATCTTGGTCTTGTTCAAAATGTCTTGACAGGTGGTGCCAGATTCAGATGCCCATAGGGCAGGACTACAAGAGGGTGATCAGGTGCTTTCTGTCAATGATGTGGACTTTCAAGACATTGAGCATTCAAAGGTAAGGCTTGATATGTCTGTCCAAGAGACAGAAACACGCTTTTATTTCCTCCTCTAATCTGTTTTTGATTTCTCCTAGGCTGTGGAGATTTTAAAGACCGCAAGAGAGATTTTGATGAAGGTCCGATACTTCCCTTACAGTGAGTATTATCCTTCCCTTGAGATACAGACTTGATGTTTTCTCTGTTGTTCTTTTCCTTCTATTCTAGGTCTATCTCGTTTAGCTTATTTTACTGTTAACTGATTCAATTGGAGTACCTGACATAAATTAGTGTTCTGCATCTGTTTTTCTAGATTACCAACGGCAGAAGGAGAGGACTGTACACTAGGTGGCAGAGCTGACATTCATGACTGAAGCAGTGAGTGACGCAGCTGATGAGGCATTGGTGTGTCAGCCAAACTTTCATCTTCTCTGCATCATCTTCCTCCTACTAACTATTGTCTCTGACTAAAAGACTGCTCAAAGAAATCATCTTCAAACGCGAACATGCCTGATGATTCAAAGCTTCTTCACCCATTTAGGTCAGTTTTAGGCATCTGTGTTTTGAGCTGCATAAGTTTTGAAGTCTCTCATCCCATTCCTCTGGGAAAATAAGCATATTCTATGGGATATATCATGCATATAAAAAGAAAACATGGTAGAAATATTATTTATTGAATTAAATAATTATATAGGGCAAAGGGTACATCATGAATAAATTATGATCTGCTATTAATATCAACTGATGTCCTGCTGACAAACACATAGCTACTGATTAACTAATTGTCATTGAATCAATATGCTAATGCAAACAGTGCTGTTCAGGTGCAAATACTTTATGCTTATTTTTTAAATAAACCTGTATGGAGAAAAAGCTTGGAGGGTGTGTGTGTGTAAAATGAATACATTCTCAGATTTGGTAACTGAAGTTATGATGTTAAGTAGTGTGGCTAAATGTTAATATATTGCATCAACTAGTGGTACTATAAATATAAAAAGTCCACATTTTTTTAATTACATTATTTTATTACACAAAATGTAAGTTTACCTTTTACTGTGTCACAAGCTCAATGGAACAGAAGGCAGTTCATATGCAAATATAAACCTATCAAAATGCAACATTATTATTGGACGAAATAAAAGAAACGGTCTTCAAAAGATATTTTGAACAATTTATTTAAAATTTTTGAAAGTATAAAACTTTATTACCCTTTAGTGAGTTAGGACTTTATATACCAGTATATGAAATTCAAGTTCTCAAACACAAATTTTCATATCCATCCATCCTCAGAAAGAAAAATATCATGTCATAAATCTGGGTAACTCTGCCACTTATAGTGCAAATGTCTTTGCATGGATCCACTGGTGTCACGTTGTTAACATGCCTTTTTCTTTCATGTTCAAGGGCCAATCACATATTTGAGAAGTACAGAACAGCTAATTTCATCTGCCTTCTGTTTTCCTCTGCCTGTTACAGGCAAATGAACTAATACCACTTCAAGTAATAAATCTTGAGGTAATACCACTTTGTGTCTTGGACTGCTTTGGTCATATTACAGGGCCATTACACAGGTTTTCTCCCATGGTTCACATGCCAATACAGACAAAGCTCTTTGAAAAAGCACAGACACAATTACACAAACATAAAAAGGATGACATCGCAAGGAACCTACCCCCTACCACGGAGATTTAAAATAAGGATTAAACATGCTTGACCATATTCATAAAGAAAAACCATCTATTTACTTGCATGTCAATACAATCATTTAGGTGTAGCTTCATCATAACCACTTAGTAATAAATTACAGGTCAAAAAGGTCTCATTTAAGACAATGAACCACCTTCAAAAGAATTTCAAATTAAATTGAGTAGAGCTGCATAGTATAAAGAATTTTCCTTGTTCAAGTAAGCATCATGTCACGTGCGATGCCCTAAGAAACCCAGACATCAATAAAGGAATGTGTAGCACAGTGATTGTAAACTCTTACTCTGTGAGCGGGAGGGAGGAATGTTGACATTAACTAGCTCTAAGTGGGGTAAGAGACTGATCCTGTGACGTGGACCTTTTCTTTGAGCCGTTTTAGCTGCTGTCTTCATTCTCTTGAACATCCCTGGATGAGCTCTCATCCACGTTCTCAAGCGAGTCTCCGCGCTGGATGGACAGCTGTGCTGGATCCATCATGGGCAGTTCACTCTGTATGGGGTACAGCCACGGCTTATGATCTGGAGAATTTGCTGCTTTCCATGCAGGGTAGCTCTGACCGGCTTTATGAACGCTTCTTAAGACCTGTGGAATGACAGAAGAAGGTGAAGGAGTGGCACGAGTATCAACGGAAGTTACACTGAACTTTTTTTCAGTCTTGTGTAACCCAAACAGTGTACTGGAATCCAGTTTTACCTCATTTTCAGGCTGTGCAAGGACTCCGATTGCAGCAAGTCTTTTTGCTCAAGCATAGTTATATAAATAAACGGTGTTTCTGTCTGGGTCTTCAGAATTTTTGGCAGCACAAAGTGTCAGTGTGTGTGCGTGCAATACTGCTTATAAACTCTGACTTCAAAACTAAAGGTAATGGGCTTTGTTATTTTGTCAAACAGTATTAATAGATAGGAAAAAAAACACTTAAAACACAAATAATCCAAATAAAATCATCAGCACCCTCCTTTTAGACATGGTTTTAATATGGTTGTTCCATGTAAACACATACACGTGACGTGTGTGTATGTATATGAAATAAAAACAATATGAAATGTTTTCAACATAAATAAGAAATGTTTGAGCATCAAATCAGCTTATTAGAATGATTTCTGAAGGATCATGTGACACTGAAGACTGGAATAATGATGCTGAAAATTTAGTTTTACCATAACAGGAATTACATTTGAAAAATATCTTAAAATAGAAAACAGTTTATTAAACTAAAAATATTTTAGAATTTTATCACATAAATGCAGCCTTGATGAGCATTAGAGACTTTTCACAAACGTTAGTGTGTATGTTAATCAAATCGTAAACCTGGTTATTGATCAGTGGAAAGACAAACACCTCAGTTTTCAATAATAGTGTATAACACACAAAGTGTGATGTATAGACTATGTTATCAGTGTGCCCTTTGGACAGAGATACCATCTGGTAACACTGCAAACAGCCCTACCACATGCTGTAATTCCATACAAAACTATGAAACCAACAGCAAAAAAGCCACAATTCAAAAACAAGACTGACTTCATGTTCCCAATCAGAAGAACATCTTCACCATAGTTATCTTTAGATATCAATCTGAACACTTGATGAGGGCTGAAGCATTATTAGAGGCGTTTCTAAAAACTGTTAAGTCTAACTGTGTCAGTCATAATCACAAATGATTAATAAAGAGGAAGAGATTAGCATTTAATAGGAGCCTAAGTGATGCGCTCTTCTGTAAAATGAAAAGAATGACTGTAGTCATGCAGCCTACAGACCGAACAAGATAAACGAGTTTCACTTTGGCACAGCAAGTGCTGCGTGAGCGTCTTCAGTACAAGATATTCCAGTAGGTTACCATAGTAACAGTTATGATTTCACAAACCTTAAACACAGACCCACATACAAAGATCCTCGCATCCTCAAAGAGTATAAACGACAGAAACAGCAGTAAGAGACTAAATGTTAACTTACTTTTGGAGCCAGGACCTGAGATGCTTTGTTGACAACCCACTTTGGAAGAGACCCTAAAAGGTAAAAAAAATGCTTATAAAACAGCAACAAATTAAAGTCCTCCAATGTAAATGAATGATGGGAGCGAATCGGTTCATACCTCTGGGATCAGCCTGTGAGAGGTATGTGAAAGTGCAGCTGTTGGGCCCTGTTGGTTTGAACAGGTAACCCGTCAGGAGGGAAACGGCCCTCACCAGATCCTTTCGTGGGGGATATTTCTAAAATGAAAACAAAGCTTTATTACAGTATTTGTATAATTGATGTAGTATTTCATTGTATTATTTATCATTATAAAATAATGAGAATAATGTTCAATGTTAAAATAATGTCTCCTACAATGATATGAATTTGGATGGGCGAAAACTTGAAAACAGTAATTATTTTTGCAATTCCATTTGACCTTTAAGAAAATCTGATATTTCAAGGTCTCTTGCTTTATCTAGACATTCATTAATAGAAGGTGTAAGTAAATAAAAGACGTACCGGATGTTTCACTGAGAAGTTAATGATCACATACTCATTTTCAGACGCCTGCCATGAGCGCAGGGTCACCACATCTCTGTTCTTCAATGGTTTCGGACAAAGCCCTGTGAATAAAGGAGGGGAAAAATATTTATATGACATATAGGCCCTTAAACAAACGCAACTTCACTGCCTAAATAGGGCGTAGAATTTAGTAGGGACGCTAGGGACGTGTCCCTACCAATATCTAGTGACACTGATATATCCCTAGCAATATTTTCGATCAAAACTTTAAATATATTAAATATTGATGTCCCCGTCCCCACCAATTTCAAAATCAAACCTACACCACTGCTAAATTCACACAAAAGCATGGTCCCAGGAGGCTTATCTTCAGTACTGTACTGTGATAAGCCACTGCACTGAAGCAATCACATTGTTAGGTGAACTACTTACAAAAGCCCCAACAAACTACTAGAATAACCATAAGACATGAAAGAGGTCTTAAAAACGGACAGAGATTTAAAAGATTACATGACTCACAGGAATAGTAGCCCACGTCCGCATTGGGAGCCAGGCGAGCAATGTCAAAACTCTCAAGCATCGTAGGATCCCATGACTTCCGGTACTGACTGTCATGAAGCACGTCATACATGGTAGCAGCCGATACATCCTTTATGTTCATTCTACACTGTATTGGAAACAAATGCATTTGCATTAGTGTTGTTATGGCAGCAGTACACACAGAACTGGACATGTAAATTAAACTGAAATGTAATAGAGAGAGAGAGAAAAAAAGAAATTGTGATCTACTGGGGGTCCATAGAGAGGATATGTAAACAATTGTACCATTAAATCATGTCTAACCAATGACCCATTAAGCATTTCACGATGTAATAAAATTAATGTTCCTAATAAAAGTTATATATATTATATATATATGCCCCTGAACGGTCTGGTTTGGGGACCCTGCTGTAAAGTTTGAAACCACTGGTATAAATTAATTTAAAAGGTAACATTGACACAATAACTTTTAAAGACAAATCAAAACAAAATATGGTCATACACACATATCACAGTAGTTAAATGTAGGCAAACTTTATCTTACCTTGATTTTGTGGACTTTGGATAAGTTCACCTTGTTGCTGGTAGAAGTAGATAAAGGGGGCCCCTCGACCCATACCTCCATGTCATTCTTATCATACTTGTTGTGCCAATTCTCGGTGGACAAGCATTGTCTTTTGAACTCATTAAACATGAATTCATCTGGAATGATTCCCGAACCGCGAGACATAACTGAAACAACAATTTCACCAATAAATTTCACCGCGAGAATTACAGATCTTGTACCGAGGCTCAATAACTTCGCTCTGCTCGCTAAGTATGATGTGGTGTTCACAGATTAACATTTCAAGCTCGACAAGATTTTTCTCACAAATTCCTCACCTGGCGTCAACGCTTGCGCATGGAAAAAACTCGTCACCACTTCCGGGAGTAGAACAGGTGTATTACAACACTGCAAGGTGCGCAGCTAGTCAGTCAACTCTGAACAACAGTGATTTAGCACACTGACATGATCTTGATTTATACCCCAATGGCTTTTATGTACCCAAGTGAGAACTGTTGACTTGAGACAAACTGGCACAAACTGGGTGTGTCGGACCGCCCATATTGATTGGTCATTCGGGTGCGGGTCCATGGTCTCTCTCTGCAGCTGCAATGATATACATGGTTAATTCATAACGGAATCCCAAGACGAGCTGTAATTATGTGAACCCCTCCTTTTGTTCACGACCGAAACCTCTCTTCAAATCACCTCCACAGGAACAACATTCAATAGGCGTGTGCAATGTGCCATTAATAAGAAACTGAATTTCATAGTTGTTTCTGTTCTTTGTGTTGTGGACTATGGTACCAACAGTGAGTGACCAAAGAGAACTTAAGCGTTTAAAAACATGAAACGCTTTAATAAGATTATTTAACCTTTTGCTTACTTATACAGTATACATAAATATTCTTATATAAACAGAATACTGGTCTCAGCTTATCACAGACATAACACACTATCTGTATCTGCAACTTAAACTTTTTTATTTATGAAGATTTGTCATATTAATTATATATATATATATATAGTTTAATATTTATCTTAGTTTTTGTGTGTGTGTGTGTGTATATATTATTAATGTGTTTAACATGTACATGAAAATTTAAAGGGCCTGGTGTCTCAAGTAAATTAGCCTATTCATTTGTTGCCATTGCAAATAGGTGAGATCAAGTAATCCACAAAAGTTCCTGTATATAATGATTCGGTAATGTAATTATATTATGCATCAAGTCTGTTTCTAATACTCAACACTATGTTTATAGGCCTATACAGGAACCAGAAGCAGCACAAACAGCAAATCTGGTGAAATATCTTTTATTCATGTGATACATTTTGGTGTCTCTTTAACCGTCCATTTTTTACAGCATATAATAATAGTACTTTGTCACACAAACTTAGCTAAACACTATTAGACAGCGTATTTCAAACAGACCAACACACTTCAGAATAGCACACAGCTGAGTATTCAGTGAGTGACACGTGATAGAGCTGTTCAGGAGGGTTTTCACTCTTATTTATTTCATTTCCTACATATCAAACCATAGTAAATGTTAATGTTTAAAACACACTTGATGCCCTTTTTAAGTCTTAGTGATGAAAGGATTTGTCGGTTTACAGTTGAACGAGAGGAAAAGCGACAGTGCTGGGGGGCTTGGTGATACCTCTCCAGCAAATAAAAGCCCATTCAAGCTATACTGTTGAAACCCTGCATTACAGATGGGGCGTGAAAGTCTTTAAGAGTGGCGCGATTGTGACACGACTAGGTCTTTGTGATACAGTAGCCAGGCAGCAATGCAAATTATACATCAAACTTTGATTCCCACACATTGCTAACTGCCATTCCCGTCAAGCATACAACACATTGAGATAACTGCTATACTAGAGATACTAACTAGTGAGATAATAAATAAACACATGAAACCAACAGTCTTACGACGAGCAATACCAAGACGTGTCTGTACACTAAGCGATAGCCGTGTTGAAGGAAGAAATCTAAATGTCCTGTTTAACAAAACCTCATTATCTTTATGCAATGTTAATAGGCTCAAGCAAACCACAGCACTGTGGCCTGATTTGGTGCACCATGACAACCAAACAAGCAAGGCATTTTGTGTTAAACTGTCTCTAAACTACATGCGGTCCCTACACTTGCGCAGCAAAAACAAGACAGAAAATGAGCAGAATTAGTGTGAATTGCTGATGCTTTCCATATCCAAGCTCAGAGCGACGTTACGATAGTTTTGTTAGTACGTACACGTTTTTACAATTAACGTTAGGTTTTGTGACTACGGTCGTGGATAAGTCATTAAATATCTTAGGTTTTGAATTTGAACTAAATTAAATAGTAATTTTCCCTTTTCTAAGAACATTTAATCCAATTTTTCCCCCCCCACAGCTCAATACATTCTACTTCCATGCAACCCTCCAAAGATTTCGGTATATAAAATTAGCCTGTCCAGAATGAGGCTTATCGCAAACAAAACTGCTAATTTCTTTGTCCATACATGTATATATCCTGAAACAAAACAACTTTAAAATGATATCTGGTCCCTAATACCATATTTAACATGGAAGCATCCAATTATACAGAATATTGTGTCCATGGTGATATTTCACGACAAAATTGAAGAGATTCGTTCTGTATCTTTCTTTTAAATAACTTCTGCCAAAAAACACAAACAAAATAATAGTGTAATGTTCATGTAAAAAAACAAAGTTAATTTTTTTTATCTGAAGCAGTAACAGCCAGAAATTCTTCCTCCAGTGAAATTAAAAAAGAAGGCAAAAAAGGCCTAAAAATTATAACATCAGCCCCAGCTCTGAAACATGTTAACTTCACAACTATGATGGCACTGATGTGTGAAAACTTAAGAGCATATGAGCTTAAGTCAGTCTGCAATCCCATATAATGCCATGCAGCCAGAACAGATGAGGATCTGAATGGTTTTAGCATTTAATTTATGCTGTGATTTGACTTTTTTCGTTAATAATATATGCATTTTTGGAATCCATTTTAATACAGAGTAAAAGCACATCCACACGGTTACTCTGAAAAGTCACTGAGTCGAAGAGAAAGAAAGGGTTCTCCGCTCATGACACGGGGCCGTGAGAGGAGCGAGTGACCACTGAGAGGCAAGCTGTTTGTGTGTGAGGGGGTGGAGTGAGGGGGACGCAGGACCTGGTGGGGGGCCGAGGGTGGTTACTAGCACGAGCAGCTGCTCTCGGTAACGGGCAGCTCTGGAGGCTTCTCCAGTTTGATGTCGATCACTGAAAGTTTGTATCAAGGATCAGTTACTGAGAGACTGGATCATTTGAATAAGCACGTCTTTAGACTTTTCATTCGTTTCTGTTAGACAAAAACGCTGGCAGACAAGCAGACATGCTTATGATCTCCTGCAATCAGGCTATTGTGGACAAACTGACTGACATTTTAATGTGAGAGATGGCATATTTAAGGTGCATGTGAAGGATACTGTCCTCTTTGCTTTTCTCTGGCGTACTATCCATTCCAGGCAAAGCTGCAGCAACACGACGAAACAGCTAGAGAGAAAAAAAAAAATTTAATTACTTAAAAACTCTGCTTTAGCCACATGTACATAAATCAATGCAGGTGTAATATAATACAAAATTGATATCTTATTAGTATGGGAGACTGGGGCTAGTTCTAACCTGTTTTACTCCAGTCAACAACACACGTTGACCTTTTGTGACAATATTTTTTTTGGCATATTGTTATACTGTATATAGAGTAAGTTATATTATAGGCTTTTCAAGTACATCAAAACACATATACAACAAAACCCCATGAAAGGGACAAACCTCAAAAATAAATAATACAAATGTCAAACTCTTGTTTTGGCCAACAGATATTGTAATTAAGTTGTAAAAAAAAAAAAATTACAATATGTAACTCAATAAAATATGCAACTTCGATTTTTTTTTTTTTTTTTACTCACCCAACCAGTATTACAAAAATATTACACAACGGTTTTCACCAACCACTGGATTGATTTAGTAAAGTTTGTTTCTATTACACTGATCTTATTGAGGATATAAGTGTTTCTAATGGGTTTGAGGTCTGATGGTGGAATTGGGCATTTTTTGAGCTCTGAAGATGAAGCCTCTTTTGCTGCAGCATCAGCTTTCTCATTCCCTGGAATTCCACAATGCCCTGGTACCCAACAAAAAAGGATTTTAAAATTCTGTATTATCAATGTTAAAAACAGTTGTGCTGCTTAATATTTTGTGTAGAAACCGTGATTAGTTGTTTTCAGGATTCTTTGATGAAAGAACAGCAATTATTTGAAATCTTTTGTAAAATTCCAAACATTTTTACGGTCACCTGTTTTGATCAATTTAATGTGTTCTTGCTGAATAAAAGTATTAAACCCCAAACTTTTGAACGGTAGAGTGGCTCTTATGACAACTTCCTCATGTGCAACTAGCCCTAGTCTCCCCTATTTAAAAGATATTATAACTTCCAATGGGTAGAGAGGTGAAAAAAAAGGGTAATTTCCGATGACACTAGCATTATGACAAAAAAAGACACCATGACCCACTAATTCTGAAAACAAAAAGCAATACAATATGCTATTAAAAAGCACAATGCACAATGAAATGTCTACATTGAGTCTGTGAATTACAATGGGTGCTAAAACACAGCACATAGAGAAAAATCATTCTAGCGATGCTTGGCCAACATGCAAAGGACATCTGTGACACAGTACATGGGGAGCACTTCAAGCAAACAAAACACACAAAAGAACAGCTTAATAGCACAGGACACCTGTGAATGTGAGGCGAGGGAAGAATGGCTAATGATGGGCGAGGCGGGGAAAGATAGAAACCAAAGAAAGCAGAAGATAGAGTGGTGGAGGGAAGGTGGGGCTTGGCCGTCCTCATTTCTCCGTGATTCTACCTGTTTGACATTGTAGCCAGTCTTTGCGCTGGTTTCAATGAACATGACATTCAGTTCCTTAGCCCTCTGCTCGCCCTCCTCTGTGGTAATCTGTCTGCTCGACCGGAGCAGGGAGGGGAAAGGAAAGAAATACAGACAGACAAAAGAAATGCATCAAGAAGAAGAGAAAGAGACAGAGACTGCCTGAAGTTCACATTAGTAATAGGGAAAAAAAGAGGGATTAGTGTTTTTATAGGACCACAACACAGGTTGAAGAGTTGAGAAATGGCTGAAATCGTAACCTTGAAAAGAGATCACTGCACTGCAGTTCAACAAAAGGGCCATTCACAGGGAACAAATTTTTTTACTTGAGGACAATCCACAACAAAAATAAACACCCTATCAAGGGAAGTGATGATAATGTCATTGGCACTTTGGTCACTGAAATATCCCTCGTTTATTTTCGGCTTAAAGAGTTCATCCAGAAAGGAAGATTCTGTCATCAATTACTCACCCTCATGTCATTCAAAGCCTGTTTCACTTACTTTCTTCTGAACACAAAGATTTACATAGAAGAATGTCCAAGCTTCTCTTTTCCATCCACTTCTATAGTATAGAGCAGAGGTTTACAAACTGTGGGTCGCAGATTGGGAAGAGGTGGGTCGCGCAATCACTATATTGGCTGCAGCTCAATTTATGTTTCATGAGTGACACATACAAACAGGTTGCACGATGAACCAACGTTAAATAGAAAACGCTATATTGCTTAGAGCGATTTAAAGTTAGATAAATATGTCAGTATTGTGTTTCATGTGGTTTCATGAAGCGCTCGCGTGCGACTTGTAATAACAATTTTCACCGTCTCAGAGCGGCTTCGGTTCATTAAGCAGTTTGGTGCGCATTATTAACGAGAAGAAACTCGTTTACTCCAATCACTGCACTGCATTCTGCATGAGATCGCATTACACCGGAGAATTCAAATGTCACGAAAGGCTGATTCAGGTCTGGGCTGCGTTTCCCAGAAGCATCGTGAGCTAAGTTGATTGTAGAGACCATTGGTGGCAATGGTTCTACGATCTACTTAGGCATACGATGCTTTTGGGAAGCGCATTAATCTCTGTCGTCTGTTCAACACAGCGCTGTTGTCTTTCAGAAATATGGTCGTCGTAAGAGTGTGTTGCTTTGTGTTCCCTCGCATACATTTTGATACCTACCAACGCATAAGGAAAATATATACCGGTATGTAAATAGTATTTAAAATGTATACACACGAGCACGAAAGCGTTTTCTGCGCTGAACAACGCAATGAGTTTAACAACACTCGCAGCATAAATATTAGTATTGAAATTCTAGGTCCTGGGCATACTGTCAAATACAATTATTAGTCTATTATTTTTTTATATTCTGATTTTTTGTCATATCAAACCTTTGGTTAAGATTAAGCTTACTTAATCTTTTTCATTTCTTTAAATTTGTTTTGCCATGTTTGGGTAAATCAGTTGAGGCAGCAGACAAAAACTACTCAGTATTCTTCACATTATTTCAACAGCCATTAAGCTACTATTTTAATTCTCAAACTTTTTGACAATGTACCATAAGTTTGTATTGCAATTAAACTTATATGTCATACTATGACACGGAAAAAAACTGCTTTAAAGAGAACTAACGCCTCCCACCCCACATTCATGCTTTAAAATGATTGAGATAGAGATAGATTATTCGTGGGTCCTGGAATGAAAAAGTTTGGGAATCCGTGGTATGCGTGTGACGTCACCGTTGGCCGGAGTGAACGCGCTTACACCCAGCGAGTGGCAGAAAGACTGAGCCGCAGCATTAGCTTTCAGTGTAAATGCTGCGAAAAACACACAAAGCACATCTAAAACTGAAAAGAGATTTGAGATTGACTGTATAAATATATTTGACAAGAAATCTGAGGTATATTTTTACAGGCTGCCGAAAGCTACCGAAAAGAGAAGCAAATGGGTCGCTGCAATTCATAGAAACAACTGGACTCCACGTCCACGCAGCGAAACATGGATTTGCAGTTATCGTTTTGTGTAAGTATGCTGAATTTGGGGGTAAAATCATACCCTATATATTGTATTGTTATATATTGTATTGACAACTCATCAATTAAATATTTACCATCTTATATTATGCATAATTTGATGTTTTTAAATAAACACTGGCTAAAAACTATACAAGTCTTAGGGCTGGACGATATGACGATATATATGACATTGATATAAGTGATCACCCGGATTTAGACCTACCTTTATTGTATTTAAATAAAGGATTTACAAGCAAATTTGCTTTATGTATTTTCCCAGCATCAAAATCAGGCACATATAAATGTCAGGAAACACGATTCCTGGTTGCATGTCAATATCCATGGATCACTGGATCTTTGGTAAGTTGTAAAGAACACTATATCGAGTCCAACCTTTAGTTTAAACTGATAATCCCTCGTTTTACTCGCGTTTTCGCAGTTTCCCCTATTAAAATCCAGTCATTAAGCAGGCTCTTTTGCCACTCAGTCCGGCCGAGGGGGCGTTCCGGCGGGAAAGTGACGTCAATGCATACACAAAAATACATTTTGCTAAACGTCTCCTTTTGTGTTCCACGGAAGAAGAAAACAGGTTATACATGTTTGGAATGACACGAGGGCGATAAATTATGACCGATATTTCAGTATTTTGGGTGAACTATCCCTTTGTCTCTAGACCACATCTGTGGCATTCTTTCAAATTGATCGACTTCCCAGAGACAATAATTTTGACTTTGTAAGATAGTAATGGCCAGACCAAGACTTATGACATTTTCTGTATTGACTTGAGGGAAGTCGAATGATACACGAATGGATTTAGATGTTAGAAAATGTTAAACTGAGGCATACATTGTTAGCTGAAAGTATAATCAACAGGGCAAGATATTTAACAAAAGGCCACACAAGAGGTAGGAGATGTAAAGAACATTGTGAATGACACGTGTTCTAATTCAATGAAAAACTGCTGAGCTTTCTGCCGAATTCCATGGCTGTAGAATCAATGTGGGTGTTATGTCACATTCCTTCCATGTTTCTTTGTGGTATCCTTGATCAGGTAACAACTGACAGGGTTGCTATGTGATTCTATTACAAAAAAAGTATTTGAAATTCAGCAATTTCAAACTGGAATCCATACAATTTTGAGTTTCGAATGAAGGTGAAAATTACCCCTTGTAGATTTTATATCAGGTTCCAGATTGTCACGCAAGTTTGTGGTGTTAAAAGTGACCTCTGTGTGAGCTGTACTCCATGCAATGCTACACTATTGAAAATTGACCCTTTTTGCTCACGAAATTCCCACACCTTTACGTTTATCCTCAATATTAGCCTATTTAAAATGTTGATTTGAGGTGTTGCACATTTTTTGCAAGGATTCTGCTAGGATTTATTACTGTATCAAGCTTGTTTTTACAACGTGAAGACAGTCTCCAAAAAGATTTCTGTGGACATCGACAATATGCCACAGATTCTGTTATACAAGTTAGAACGCTTAGATCTACTCTACAGCTGTATCATGTCACCCACCTGTTTGACGTTATAACCAGCTTTGGCGCTGGTCTCTATGTACATCACACCCAGATCCCGGGCTTTTTTCTCTGCTGCCTCTAATGACACTTGCCTGCCATAATCCATAGTTGAGGTGTGGACACAGTTCAAATTAGAATGGATATGAAAAACAAAAGTAGTAATGGGAAATCAAAAATAAAATTAAAGAGAAAATATGACCGAACAGAAAAGCAACAATGGCACAAATTATTCAACATAACACAACTTAATAAAGAGAAAACTGAACACAAAAATAACAGTGAAACGTGAAGTCTGAGGGATGAACAAAAGATGTGTTCATCAAACTCCTCGAAACTACTGTACCTTTTATCAGCCAAGTCTGTCTTGTTGCCAACCAACATGATAATGACATCACTTCCTCTCTCTGTTCTGACATCATCTATCCACTTTGAGGTTTGCTGGAAGGAGTTGAGATCTGAAGAACAGAAGGAAAAATAAAATGTTATGCATGGACTTATAACAAAGGAAAATTGTCTCTTGTGATCTGCAGGAACTCATTTCAGTGATTGATAAATTGAAAATCAATTTGCAAAGTTCAAATTTGGCAGCGGTTAAAAATACACTTGATTCACTTCAACGACGAGCTTTCTTAGAAGAAAGTGTGCAAGCAGACTGTTAGAATGAAGTTCAACAAAACAGAGGACGGTTAAGTTAAAGCACAGGAAATGTCAATGCTCATCGAGCTCAAATAAGAGAGAAGCATGTTCAATCTACTTTTCATTTAATCTGAATGAAATAATAAAAACAGCATTGTTCCCAAGCAACCATACTAAGATGAACTGCCATGACCTAGAAGCAGCTGCTGAATCGTGCTAACTGTGCCCTGAGAGCATAGATCCCTGCTGACCCAATGAGTGAGGCTCAGACTCACTGGTGATGTCATAGACCACCACAGCAATAGTGGAGTCTCGGATGTAGCTGGGAATGAGGCTGCGGAAGCGCTCCTGCCCTGCAGTGTCCCATAGCTGGAGCCGAACCTGATGGACCAGCAAACCGTGGTGTGCAAAGAAAACAGGGGAAAGAGAAAGGCAGAACAGAGAAAAGAAATAGTATAAAGAGAGGATAGAGCCAGGGAGCAGGATTAGACGAATAGGACAACATCAAAGAAGCAAAACATGAAGGAAAAAGAGAAATGCACCTACAGAATAGACCAATTTTTGCTTCTGTGCTTATAGATCATAACCACAAGGTTTTAGGAATCTGAAGGCATTTCTCCATTCCTGCTCTCTGAATGACGCTGCTTTCTGCAAGATGCTTTGCAAATGGCACTGCTTATGCACAAGTATTGCTGGACATGTTTTCAGTCTAAACAACATACTTTATGGTTTTGAAATATTTGTAAAAGCTCATAAAGACACAAAAATGGAAATTTTGCTAGAATTTACTCACCCTTATGTTTTTCAAAAAACCTGTATGACTTTCTTTCTTTTGCAGAACACAAAAAGAAAGTATTTTGAAGAATGCTTTAACTATTTATCCATATAAATAGTATAAAAGTTAATGGGGTCCAAATCAACACTTTGTATGGACAAAAAAAATGTTTTTCCTAAATATCTTTTTTTTGCGCGTTCAATACAATAAAATACAATATAAATTATATCTAAAACTGTTTTCCAGCAGATAAGTTAAATAAAATAAACTAATTCTAAATTAATTCTGCTCAGGTGTAAAAACCATACTAAAAAGATACGTCTTCAAACATTCAATGTGCAGTAAAAGAGAACTCAAAGAAAAGGCCCTATCAGCATTTGATTTTAATCTAGCTTTAGGAACAATGAATACCATCTGAATAAATGGTCTCAACTGTTTAGCATTTTGATTGAGCAATATTTGAAATGTCAGAAGAATTAAAGTTATACAGGTTTGGAATGACATGAGGGTGAGAAAATTATAACAGAATTTACATTTCTTACATCCCTGTACTACGCATTGTTAAAACTGATTTTTTTCCATCTAACTTTGTTTAACTTTACCAGGAGCGCTCAAATAAACCAGCAAACTTATAAAGCTACATGAGTGCCATTTACTCAACTTGACCCCACCATGTGGTGAAGCAGGAGCACTAGCTACCTACTTGCTATATCATAGACCACCACTGCGGCTGCTGAGTCTCTGATGTAACTGGGAATGAGGCTACGGAAGCGTTCCTGCCCAGCAGTGTCCCACAGCTGTAGCCGAATCTATGAACGTCCATGCAGCACAACAGGCATGGGGACCCATTCAGCACCCAGCCATGGAAGAGAGTGGGGTGAGGTGGACAAAGACACAACCAAACTTAAAAAGGTGAAATCAAAATAAATGACAAACTAATGACATAAGTGTGATGAGCTACAAGCATGCGCAAGGAATTACGTAAATGATAACTGTGATGAATCTGTGACAGACAGTGAAATCACCTGCTGGACTAGCCCTATTTGGACGTTAAGAGAAATGCGTCATAGAGACAAAGGCATACTTTGTGATTTTAATCCTGTCTGAATCTGCCATGTCTGTGTATTTTCTCACACAACCTCGGTACAAATTCCAGGGCAAATTACCTACTGTTTTTGGCAAACTCAATGAAAATCTAGAAATCTAATCCTCTCCGAATGCAAATGTCTGTGATTGTATTGTAGCCAACTAATGCTTCTCCTCATTTGTTTTTTAACCTTCCCGTGTTACATTATGCGTACCAATCTTTCGCATGCTTTCATTTCATTTTAAAATGGTGAAAAAAAATTATTATTAAATTAATAAATAGAGCCAAATTGTGAAAACTGTAAAGACTGCCCCTTTTAATATTAGTGTCATGTACGGTAAGATGTACGGTACTCTAAACTGCCTATTGAATTCAATGCAGATGAACCATGTACGCTAAATGTCTCCGCTCACTTATGTGGGTTCATTATAAACAGCCACTTCAATAAACTCATGTGAACTATATTTAAGTAGTTTTTAATAATATATTAAAGTTATAACAATAAGTAATTCATTAAAAAATATATACGTCATACATAGCAAAGGCGACCTTTCTGTAATGCCCATGTCTAGAAAACACACACTCCCACCTCTGTAATAAACACAGAGATCTCAGTTCTATCCGAATCAGTTCATGGAATCACAGACGTGGGGTGATAAGAATTGTAACTCAAACTTCGTTTAGAAAACTAGTCCTGTCCGAATAGGGCGTTATAGACCTTACAGGTGATACTAGAAAACATCAAGGCGAATGACTTGAGCCAGTGTGTGTCAAAACCATCTATTACACTATTACTAACATTAATAGTCAATATTTCAACTAAATCAGGCTTTAAAAAAAGGCTTGGACACACAGAGACTCCTTGGAAATTATTCTAGAAATGTTGATCTCCGTCCTACCGTGCGGTCTTCCAAGTACATGGTTTTTGACAGAAAGTCTATACCAATAGTTGCCTATGGAGAGAAACAATGAGTTAACAATCACATTGTAAAATACAGACCATTTAAGGAATATTGATTTTGACTGTATTTTCTGTGGAACACAAAATTAGATATTTTGCAGAATTTTCATACTGCTCTTTTCCTTTCATAAAGTCAAAAAATAAAATTGATCCTTGTTCACTGAAAATCTAATTCGCTCTTGTGCATATTCAAACTTTCTGCAACAAGACACTTTTATATCAAATTTGATTTCAATGACACCAAAAGCCATTGGTTCTAATGTGCATCAGATCTGAGATTTGAGAGCTATGAACTAAATTAACACTCGACAAACACCAAATGCAAGTTAAAATGGGCACTGCTAAGTGAAATAAATGTTATTGTGACTGAACTTGTATTAATAAAAAAATGTATGGTCTGAGTAGAAATATAAAATATTTCTGTTTCAAATAAATGCTGGGGTTTTTTAACTTCAAATCCTGAAAAATAAAATGCATCACGGTTTCCACACAAATATTAAGCAGCACAACTTTATTATTGAGGAGAAATTTTTCTTGAGCATCAAATCAGGATATTAGAATGATTTCTGAAGGATCATGTGACACGGCTGGAGTAAAGATGCTGAAAATTCAGCTTTTCCATCACAGGAATAAATTACATTATAGAGTATATTAAAATAGAAAACAGTTATTTAAATTATAATAATATTTTAATATTTTATATTGTTTTTTTGCTTTTTGATCAAATAAATGCTGCCTTGGTGAGTATAAAAGACATCATTCAAAAATATTAAAACCTCTTGAATAGTATATTTCTTGTTTATAAAAAAATATTGTAAAACACATTTTATGGCTAGTAAAAAATTATTTATTTAAACTTTCCTAGTGTGCCAAAAATGTATTTTGAACTGTAACTACAGAGTTAGACAGCTTTTGGCCATCATATGCTTTTGTTGTAAGGACAATGGCAGTGTGACTAATCTACAGACTATCTCCTTATGTGTTCCATGGAAAAAAGAAAGGATTGGATCAGCATGACATCAAATGACATATTCATTAGTGAGTGAACTATTCCTTCAAGGAAGTAACCAAACCGACGTCACGACAGCTTTCATAAAGTCAATAATACTTTGATATTAAGTTGTTTTAGGTAACATGGTAAGCATCTGCCACACGAACATAACATGGGCTGTAACAATCACAGCAAGTGTTACCTGATATGTATTATCGAAGCTGTCATACATAAACCTGGTGATAAGTGAAGTTTTGCCCACTGTGGAGGAAAAGAAAAACGACGCATTAGACATAAGGGCCTCACAGTGAATGCGTCTCAAAACCTAGTGTGATCCCCACATAGACAGCATGTTTGAATGCATCACGTCAAAGATGCTGTCAAGGGAACGGATGCATTGGTCAGCGCAGGATGCTTCTGAACTCTGATCGCTGTGTTGGCAACATGGGTGTCGCCGTCCTGCTTTCCACAGCAACATACTGCATCAATACAGGCTAAGACGTGCAGAAACTCTCCTTTACGACAGCCGACTAATGCTTTTTAACGTCAAATCCAGCCATTATGAAACGAGAACGTGGATGTGACGTGGATGATGTGGCAGTTAAACATCCCTGATGTGGTTTATAATATCATGATCTTGATAGTCACAGCCGGTCAGCTAGAAACATGCTAACTGCTAACAGTTAGCAACCATTTTCACAACAGACAGTATTGTTTTACAGATTAAAACAATTAACATCCAGTACTAGTATAATATAATTTGCATCTTATGTGTTAAACAGTAATGGTGGATGCAATCACATATAAAAGGCCTTTAAAATGGGAGATCTCTGTTATGGCTAAGAACAGAAAACACAAACATGCTAATACAAGGACTTGATGGCTTCCCTCGATGTCTACATTCAAGAATACATAAACACTGAGAGGAAAGACAGAAAAATACATCTATCAATTAAAGCATAATGGAGTTGATATTCGGATCTCACATCCTTTGTATATTCGTGTAACGTTACTTCAAGGATGTTCAATGCTAACGTTACATGCTACACGTTTTCTGTAAATTTTAGTGTATTTTAAGTGCGTGTCGACAAACGTATCAGTCCAAACTGTCAAATCATTATTTGCTTGTATAACTAAATTTAGTAACATCTATCATTCTGGAGCGTCCTTTCACCTGGCCTGTCTATCTCTCCGTCCACGTCTCACATAATATTATCTGAACACTTACCGCTTTGCTCGCCCAAGAAAACCAGCTTAAATTTCCGCAGAGGGTTGCCAAACTCTCCGCCACCGGTCGTAGTAGACATATTTTTCGAGTATAATAAACAGCAGCTATCTAAATATTATTTTCTGTGCGCGGACGAAGGACACTGTACAGTCCAGTGACGGAGCGCTAATAGCTGATGATTCCTGAGTGTTACAGCGCCTCTTAGTGGCCAGAGAAGGAAACGCAGGGCACGCTGTGTCTGTGTTTCAGAACATAGTGCTAAAAAGCTGACTACTCTCCTTTGCTGTCTAGGTTTGAAAGAGACTATGATGGCCAAAATGCTGTCTTGGTAGGCAGCTGACTAGGTTTTGAGACACAGTCTATTTCTACTGTCACACCTTACCATTGTGTAGTAGCATCTGAATCTTTTTAGCGTTGCCTGCGCAATGAATTTATATAGGCTACATTTTTATTCATATAATCCTGATACAAGTATGTTTATAATATAATTTTACGTAAAATGTTTCACATCATTAAGATTTAACACATTTTTGTTTATATATATATGTAAAAAAACATATGTAAATATATATAATGTATTCTATATAGTATATATATATATTTAAATATAGAATATATTGCATTTATATTTTTTAAAAGTATATATATGAGTAATAAATTATGAAATAGCATATCAAAGTTGTTTTAATGTAATTTTATTGAAAATGTACACCATGGAGTCTTACTACAGTTAAATACTTCACAAATTTCTGGGATTACAGGGGTGGGGGTAATTGACATTAAGGGGAAAATATGGAAGATGACTAGAAAAATGTAGGCCAGTCTTGACACCCAAAATGTTTCACACAAAAAAATAGTCACTTGTCAATTTCATTAATCATTAAAACAGATTTCAAAGTTGATACGCAAAATAGGTCCTTAAAAATTATACTGCACACATATGCATAAACGTCTGTACCTCATAACTGACTAACTTGAAATTATTGAAAACCCTTGATGTATATCTCTATGCAATATTTGGCAAAATGGAAAATTACATTTATAAATTGAACATAATTGCACATTGTACCTGAACTAAAAACATGTAATAAAATGGTCCAAAGTAAGAAGCATTTGAAGTGTAAATATGTCTAATCAAAGAATAACTCCATATATAAACAAAAATATGTTCAGGGCATGCAAAAGAACAGAAGATAAAGAATATAAAAGTGGCACTGAATGTGACCTACATGGTATTTCAATAGGTGCTCCATTACTCCCTAAGATTATATTTTAAATAAAATAATTATAACTATATTGCTGTGAGTGTTTAAGACTTGAAATGTGTTCTGTAAAATGTAAAGGGGATTACAAAACATACAATACAAACCTCTCCGATTTTGCTCATGCTTCCAGATAAAGATTCTCATTAAATTACAGTTAAATCTCTCTCACTTAACACATTTGCTGCCTTAACCACCAGGAACTTTTGGGCCCATTTTCTTTGGATTTTCTCAATATTCACAGCCAGCGTGTCAAAATTAAAGATATTCTTACTAAACTTATAGTTCACACCCTAAATTAAGCATAGTGTTTGCAAATAAGTTAGAATCCATTCGCTCCTCACAGTTAGCACTGTGTTAAGGTTGATGAGTACATGCAGGTTTATTCACGAACACATATCCATAAAAGAAACTAAACAGTTTAATTGAACAAGGCAATATCATAGATGTGAAATGCTAAACTAAAACTCAAAAAAGCATTGCTTTAGTTAACAGCCTTTCTATCAGAGCTTTGGCTCTGGTGTCACCAGCAAATGATGTCTGTAAAAATACTAATGAGGGACTGCTTGGCATGCCCTAATTAGAAAACAGCGCTAATAATTGTTGAAAAAATACCATGTTAAGCCCACATAAGGCCATGTTCAACAGGGCACACAGCATGAAAGTAAAAAAAAAAAAAAAAATTATATATTAAATAAAACATTCAAACAAGGCTGACGGAGTGAAAAAGACAGGAAGAAGAGTGGACGCTTAGTTCTCGTGGAAGCTGCAATCCCCTCTTCCAACGGGTGGCCAAGACAGAGTTAAAAGAAGCTAGAGGAAGAGAGGAGACAAACGCAGATTAGAGAAAGTATCAGGAGGGCATTGAACTGGGCATCAGTGCCAGTGGGAAGACAAGTTTACATCAGTCAATTGGATTTTTCTTTTGCCAGCCAAAAGCATGAAGCATTCGGAATGTGGGCGGAGAGGAACACCGTCCTTCTGCCCTGCTTCAAATGCATTGTGCATCTTCACAAGTTGCTTTTAAACATGCATGGATTTGTTCAATGCAACATTGCTTTCAGCTTGCATTCTTAAAGTGATACATTTGTTGTCAAGAGTAACCCAATCTAAAACTTTTTAAAGAATAAAACAGCTTAACTGGGACAGTGATTATAATGATTGCATTTTCCCTCCCCACATCTCTGAAGAGGCAAAAATCTTAAGCATATTAGTAACACAAAACATACACCGCAAATAAGCACAGCCTTCAGCAAAGGTAAGTGTTTTGGTAACACAATAAATATAATGTTAGCAAAAGCTGCAGAAAGAGCACACAATGAAAACACAAGAGGTGATCTATAAGAAACACAGAGGGCCGGGTCCACACTGCCTCGGGGTACCGGTTAACCAAAGAGTCTGGGCCTGGTCCCTTATCAAAGCCATACTACTCAGTGCAGAGCCAGGGATTACTGCAAAGGAAAGTAAATACACACATAACAGTGAGCAGGGAGACTGGAGGGAGCAAGAGAGTTAATAAAGTGCTAAATACCAATCACATCAACACCACCTGTTGAAAGACCAGCATCCAAATACCATCCATAACAAAACATTGTTTGATTCACTTTGATTTTGCTGAACAGTCTGGTATCTTTAATTGTAGCTTTGAAAACATAATTTACAACTTGCTTAAGAGACTGAAAATAAAACCATCATTTTCTGCAGTGAGACAGATATAAATGGATTAAAATGACTAAACTTCCCTACTTTTTGGTCAAAAGGATCTTTTAATAAAGTTCAGTTAACATTGACTTGTGGCAGTGGTCAGGCAGCTCTTCATTTGAGAATACAGGCCACAAACTTTGTGGAGTACATTCAGATGTAGGACTAAGCGGGTCTTCTTCTTATTATTATTATTATATGTGCTCAGTTAAGCATAAAGGTATAGTAAATTGCTTTAAAGTCCAGCAATTCTCTAAACTGCCTATTGAATTCAATGCAGATGAAAACGAGGCTGTGAGGGATAAACGCACAATCTTTACAATGGCACACACTGTATAAATGTCCTAGATCACTAGGTCCCTATAGGTCCCAGAACTTTTATAGAATTGTCTACTGAAGGTTTTTTTTTTAGAAAAACGTTATGTCAGCTGAACAATCAGATCACCACCCTGACTAAGGTCTATAAATTGAGGAATCAGGATCTTCCATTACTGATACCTCGTTTCCACCAAAAAAAGAACTGGTTCGGAACTTGGTCTGGTTCAAAGTTGGTCAACTTCCGAACCTTCTCAGAACCTGTTTGTTTTTCCACTGACTAAAGAGCCCAGCGAACGACGTTGTTACGTCACTGTGTACGTCGCCATACGTCTTAGCTTTCCCATTACCATCTTGTTGTTGGTCACAATAACCAGCCCCCGACGTAAGCATGACGTGGTAAAAGAACGGTTCTAGTCCAGCAAAGAGTTGGTGCCGCTTTGGAACCAATTTTCCTAGCCGAGGACCGGTTCTTTGGCTGTCGAAAAACACAAAAGAACTGGTTCGCGAACCGGCTCTCAAAATGCTTTGGTGGAAAAGGGGTAATATTAAGCAAATCAAACACTGGTACATAAACAGTTAGTAACACTTGCATGTATAATGCAAAATTAACTGTTTGATAACCATACACAATGATTTTCCACAGTTTTAAGCTTTATGAAAGAAGCTTTATTGGTCCCCTTGCAATTAATATTTAATTAGTAAGTGAATTTTTATTTTTATTTTAATTTTGTGAAAAATAAAATATCACAAAAATAAAGAACTATAAAAAGGTGCTTACATTTGGATGAAATGTGCCAATATGAAGTTTTTCTAAACTAATACAAGCATAGGAATGACAGGTTTATAAAAAACAACAAAAAACAACAACATTGAGATTTGACTGCAGATGACCAGACAGCATCTGCATAACATGCATGAGCTAAAATGAGACAAAACACCACTTCATTACTACTCATGTTCCTAAATTCTATTAGAAAACTGCAAAAATGCTTTAAAGCTCAATGACTGAACTGAAAGCAGCTCATTTATCTTCCTAATGGTACAAACAGTAAAATCCAATTTGTCTCATTTTAACCTGTGTGCTCACTACTGCAACAGTAGCCACTCATGTTAAAGTTGATTCATACACTAATCATGCAAAACAAAGCAATATCATTATGACATCATAACACAGCAAGTAAAACAAAGAAGAACAAATGGAATTAAAAAAAAAAGTAAAAAAAAAAAAAAAAGAAGGATTCCATTCACAGTTAATATCCCTCCTCAGCTATGTTATGCGTGAAACTGGGGGATGTGGGGCGGGAGAGAGGGGGGAGGGAACGGGAACAGCATGGCTCAGGAACACTGAGGGGGGAGAGCTCATTCACAGCGGGCAGGGGGAGCACTTTCTACAGGAATCCTGAACTGGAAATGAGAGAGAAGGAAGGTTATTGTTCCCTACAGGTTACACACTGTTGTATTCACACATAAAAATAAAAAAAAGATCCAAAATGTTAGTCGTGCATCTGTTAAAACACTTGAAAGCAGTTGCAGGGGGTGTATGTGGTAAGGCTTAGAATTGTTCTCTCTTTGTGCTGGATAAAACTAATTACATTACCTCTTCTGCGGTGTTATTTACATAAATAGGATATCCCAACATTAACGTGTTACTTAACTATTACTAATAGGTATGTGGCAAGGGATAGCTCAAGCTTTAGGCCAAGTGTAGGACTAGTGTGACCCAGCTGTAGGAGCCGAGCCATCAAAGGCTCTTTTGTGTGAGTTTGTGTGTGGAGTGAAAACAACAGCAGATTGTTATGGATTCAGAAGGCAGATGGCTGCACATCACATAGCGAGAGCAATAAACTCTCGCCTGACGCTGGTGACATAATATCCCCTGCTGCTACCATAGACATTCTTCACATTGCCAGTGTTTAAGACTTTTAAGCATGAATAGGAAATGTAATTACTACTGCAGTGCTTTAACACCGCAATTACAGGATCAGTGTAACTGACCATCATCATTACATGTTTTTGTAATTTAGTCCCCTCGTGCGAGCGAGGGTTTGTGTCTTAAGAGATACCATGAAAGCCTTACCAGCATAAGGTGACTCATGCAGGACTGGGAGCAGGTGAGGAGTTAACTGGAAAACAGCATGGATGAGACGTACATGACACGTGTACAAACTAGACAAGACACCTTACAAGCAACATCAAAATGAATATTGTACATGCCCTGCCCCGGATGAGCACCGAGGAAAACTGTTACATTTTCTCTGGCTATCTTATAAATGTAGGAATAAATATCACCCACTGGATAATGGAAAAGAAAGTGGTAAGAAACTGTTCAATCTCAAGTTTTGGATTTGGACAAAGGTCGCAGGTTCGATTCTCAATACCGGCAGGAAATTGAGCAAGGCACCTAGCCCCCAATCGCTCCCTGGGCGGCACAGCAAAATGGCTGCCCACTGCTCCAGGTGTGTGTGTATGTTCACTACTCACTGCTCCTAATGTGTGTGCACTAACTTGGATGGGTTACCATACTTGGCCATCACATGTCTGATGTCTATTTCACTTTACTTTCTTGCACTTTTATGTATTGCAAAACTGCTTCCTTAGTATCACATTGCTATGAAATGTAGCAAATGTTTTTAAAGCAGTGGTCTGCTGCCTCATGGGCACATACAAGAAGCTTAAGGGGGAAAAACAGTTAAAAATAAAGGAGAAAAAACTAAAAAACAAAAACAAAAAGGTAAACCTTGTCACTGCAAGTGTCTTCTTCCCATATAGTATTCAGGTCAATGCAGGAAATCAGCTTGAATACACAACCATGGTTGATTACCAGCATTATTGAAGCAATTTATTTGAGCTCTAATTACTAGTACGCTTTTCAGAATGAATGTGAATGACCCTTTGATTAAAGGTGAATAATATATATATATACTTTTAATAAATGTTCATAACTTAATCATTTTACAAACCATGAAAATTATAGTCGTAATTACATATATTTATATCGAAAATATAATTATAACTATATAGAATTGTCTAACATGTTCTATTAATACAAGACTTATCCCACACATCAGACTGTGTGATGTTAAGAGGTCACAATTAAAAGTATGCTCTAGTTTCCATTATGCAAATACAGCTGAAGAATACTACAAATGTATTGGATGTAATTGCACAAAAATACGAGTAGCTTCACTACAGTTCAAAAGTTTGGGGTCAGTACATTTTTAAAAGTCTCTTATGCTCACAAAGGCTGCTTTAAAGGTCCCGTTCTTCACGATTAAATTTTTTCAAACTTTAGTTAGTGTGTAATGTTGCTGTTAGAGCATAAATAATACCTGTAAAATTATAAAAGCTCAAAGTTCAATGCCTAGCGAGATATTTTATTTAACAGAAGTCCCCTTTCAAAGCCTACAGCGAACGGCCGGTTTGGACTACATCCCTCTACTTCCTTTTTTAATGACGTAACTAGAAAAGTTTGACTAATCTCCGCCCACAGGAATACACAAAAAAAGGGGGCGTGGTCTTGTTGCGCTCCCACGGAGAAGCAGCACTTCAGCTGCGCATGCATCTCCAATTTATGGTAAGAGGCGTGACCTTTCTGGGCAACGTGCGATAAGCTGCTGTCGAATCACAACACAGGAACCACTGGCACAATCAGAACTCGCTACGTATTTCTGAAGGAGGGACTTCATAGGACAAGGAAGTCATCGGGCCGTTTTTTGGACAGTGAAAACAGCGGTATACAGATAAGTAAATTGTGTGAAAAATACTGTGTTTTTTTACACGCGAAACATGAACACATGTTATATTGCACACTGTAAACACAATCAAAGCTTAAAAAAAAACATGAAGAACGGAACCTTTAATTTAATCAAAAATACAGTAAAACAGTAATATTATGAAATATTATTACAAATTAATATAACTTTATTTTAATATATTTTAAAATGTAATTTATTCCTGTGAAGGCAAAGCATGATTACTCCAGTCTGAACAAAAGATCATACAATTTGATCAAAAGAACAGCACTTATTTCAAATAGAAATCTATTGTAACGTTAAAAATGTCTTTACTGTCATTTTTGATCAATTAAATGCATCCTTGCTAAAAGTATTTATTTCTTTCAAAGAAAAAAATCTTACTGGCCTTAAACTTTTGAACAGTAGTGTGTATATGTTCAAACGAGACCTTAATTTTTTCAGACATACTGTCAACACCATCCATTTGAATTCCATAGTTATGGTAATAGTCTAAATGTAACATTCCCTGCAATCTTACCGGGCGGTCAGTGAAATGCACACATGATCTCCTGCATCGTGATCGTCTGGGGTCTCGGGGAGGGAAGGTTGTGAGGGTTAGGAACCATCAATACTTACTTTTTCCTCTCTTTATCCTTCTTGAGTGTGGCGGAGCTCCCTGCCTGCTGGGCCTGTGACTGCAGCAGCTCAGCGGCCGTCTTCTTCTGCTTGAAGCCGTTCAGCTCATCATCGAGAGACTTCTTCTTGTCCTCTAGTTTCTTCTTCTCATCCTGGTGAAGCTTCTTGAGACGGTCAAACTTTTCATGAAGCTGTGATGTGAACACCAAAGAGTCAGTATGTGAGCGGTTACTGAACAAACAAAGCTTTACATCTACTGTAAATTAGAGCCCGACCGATATATCGGCGGGCCGATATTAGGCATTTTCCTAACTATCGGTATCGGCAGTTGTAATGGCCGATAAATTAATATTTTTTTTAAAATGCGGGTGCGGTGATTCATGTAAGGGTGGCGATGCCAATAAAGCACATTAAAGCTGTCACAAAGAACTGGCAAAAGTAATGATTGTGAATACATCAAATATAGCAAGGAGACATTTTAATTGTTTATTAATAAACAAGTGTTTTCAGTCAGTGTCGCTGCAAAGTTGACGACGCTGACTCGCGATCTTCAGTGAACACGCCAGAGAGAAATGCACATTTCATACGGATTACAGCAGAGCAGTCTGTCTTTCGTTTTGAATTGTTCTGTTTAAAAATAGACATTTCAATATATATATTTCTCAGGTCTGTACGCTGAGTTTCGGTTCATTTATGAGACGAGTTGCAGTTCACGCGGGCGCCTCCGTGTCGAGATTATCTATTGTCTGCTATATTTACTTCTTATTTATTAAATCCAGGCAATCGGTTGATGAAACATTGATTAAAATTAAGATGCAATTAATACAAAACGAAATTCACTTTAATGAAAGGCTTTGTGCTTTCTGTTTGAGCGAGGTCTCTGCAGGTTTAAAGCACTTTAGTGCCGCTTTCAGAGCTTGTCAAGTCCGTAACATTGTTTTTTCCTCATAAATGCGAACAAGAAAAATAAAACAAAATGAATATTTTATGTTCTGTTGAGAGCCAACCCTTCTTCATCCGGTTGGTAGTAGCCTATTACTTTTGATTTGCGCAGTGTAATTCACAGAATTGATTTCTCTGCTACCAGCCTCTGTCACGTATTGTGTGAGCTTGTGATGACTAGGGAAAGCGCGCAGCTGAGAAGTCCGGATTATATTGTCTGCTATATTTACTTCTTATTTATTAAATCCAGGCAATTGGTTGATGAAACATTGATTAAAATGCGTTGCGCGAGCGACAAATCTCCGACAGTAAACTGATGCCCCATTCTGCTTTGTAACGGGCGCTTTTTGTAATCAGCTGTTGCGACGCGAGCAATAACGGCCGCGTCCGGTGTAGACCGTGTTAAAGCTCATTCTGCCTATAACGCTACGTTACACAAGCAATAATTTATATAATTATAACACTGTGTTTCACGTTTAGTACTACATTTTGCTTACTAATTTAAAAATAGTACTGTACATATGTAATTAAAAACGTTTTCATTATGATATTATTAATTTTACTTTAGTAAAAAGATCTGAGTTCTTCCTCCACTGGTAGAGATTAGAGGAATTAAGAGTAAAAATAGAAGATAATAAGGTTTGGTCAGTAACACTTTTGATATATTTATTGATACAAGTTATGTTTTATATAATGTGACTAAATTAAAAGACAAAGTCGTTAGTGAAGATTATGCAACAGTATTTATAATATAATATAACATGCAATGCAAACTAGTTTGGTTACAGCTCAAATGTATCATTCTCATTCTATCATTCACCCTGTACACATCTTTGTCACACAAGTGTTTGATCACCACATTTGAGTGATCATTGCAAAACGTGTATATATTTATTCTGTTTATACTGTGTATTCTATATACAGTACCCATCAAAAGTTTGTACACCAATAGGAAAGTATGTCCAAACTTTTGACTGGTACTATAATACACACATAATATTGCTACTGTATTATAATATACACATAAATAATATCGGCCGATATATCGGTATCTGGCTTTATTTTATCGGTCTCGGCCCCCAAAAATCCATATCGGTCGGGCTCTACTGTAAATAGTCCAATTTATAGGACTAAACACTTAATTTTTTTTAAATACCGTTTAGTTGTATTCTATATTATAAATCATCCCAGATATACAGCTACATACCATGTATCGTCAGCTTTCGGTAACACTTTTGAGACCTTTATAACAAAATTTCTACAAAATTACAGACTACACATGCAAACAAACGAACCTCTTTTTCTGCCTCTTTCAGCTCTGCTTCCTTCTCTTTGACTCTCTGGACAAACATCTGCCTCATCTCTTCCTCTTTCTTCTGCAGCTCCCCCATGAACTCATTCCTCTTGGCCTCGTATGTTTCCTGGAGGCTGAAGACAACAAACCAGATGCAAAAGATATTTTACGCCTGTAAATGCAGACTATAAATCTTTATGCGATAAGTTGTGACGGAGAACTTTCTCCATATTGTTGGTAGGGATGCAACGATTACAGATTTTCTAAGTACGATTATTGTCTGAGAAATAATCACGGTTTAACGATTATCACGATTATTATGCATCAATTAATTTCACAACACTACTAATGTATAATATCACATGAACACTCAACACTAGATTTTAATGTGTTATTTATTGCTGCCACAACACAGTACAAAATTATAAAATGGCAAACAATAATCAATCTCTTCCTTTGGAATTAAAGAGAAGTGCTTTGTAAACATCCAGCATTTTTCTTTTAAAAATAACAAATTAAGTCAAAGGCTGCAGGACTCTTTGATTGAAATAGATCACAAAATTATTAAGTTTTTAGTTTGTTCTAAATTTATTTTCAACCTGAGGTAGAAAACTTGATAACATGAAAACAATATCTTGTTGGTATTTGACATAAAAACATAAATAATACTATAAAGGGATAATAAATCCCAATGAAAATAAGAATAAACAAAGTATTTGGCTCTATTGAATTAAATGCAAGCTAAATATTAGGCCTATGTATTTCTTTTAAAATAAAACAAATATAGTCCAAATGTTATCCACCAATATTATTGTACTTATTTTAATACTCTTTTTTAATTATTAATCCAAATTTTACATGTGCCTTTAGGAAATCATCTATTATAATCTCATTATTTTGGTTTGTTTGTTTGAAGTTTGAGTACAAATTATAGAAAGAAACTGAGAACATCTCTCATGCAGTGTTATTAATAACTGAAATGCAGTTAATTGGTAGTCCTAGAAGTCTACACGGCCCTGATCTTATGTTAGTGTTTTACACCGGGCATATTACAACTACAAAGCCTGACATTTACTCAACACAGACAGGAGAAAGCAATAGGATATTAAGTTAAATGTTCACTGAAACTCTTGAGAGCACGTCACATTCTGTTTTCCACAGACTTGCGTAACCAAAACATTCCGCTGTTTTTTTGTTGTTGTTTTTTTTTACGTTGCACTGGAAGCTGAAAGTTGCACGCCGCGTTCTCCTTTTTCCAAAGCGCTAGGGCGGTTGCGCTCCGCAGGCGTCTGTCGTTGCTCTGTTGATTCTTGTCACTTGACCCACGGTGCGCTTGCGGCATTACGAAAAGTTGAGATGTTTTTATCTCGATGCAGCGCGGACGCGCTTGGAAAAAACGAGCGCGTCGCTTCCATTATGAGCGCGGACACCGTGCGCCTACATTTGAAATGAACTTGAGCGCGCAAAAGACGCGATCTGTGAACAGGCCCTTAAGGCGTTTTTTCGGTGGAAATAGAGCGTCGCTGCTTAGTCCCTCAGTGGTTGACGAGCACGACACTTTAAGCTGGTGCACCGCTGGTGTAACGTTGTTTTCGTTTTGTGTTAGGTGCAAAAGTTCCGTTCCGTGCCGTCCGCGGTGTAGCATAGTCTTTACGATTAATTAACCGTGACGTTTTAAAGCGCGGTTAATTGTGAAATCCGGTAATCGCTGCATCCCTAATTGTTGGTGTGATCGTGACCCTCTTCACCTGAAGGGTTTGCTGTCGGGATCGGTGTCTTTGAATCCCATCTCCTCCAGCTTGCAGCGGCGGTATAGCTCATAGTGGCGAGTGTGAGTCTGCTCTCGCAGGTCCTCCATGTTGACCCTGATCAGCATCTCTCGCAGCTTCACAAAATCACAGTGATTCTCATTCTCCACTGGAAAACACATGATATTCAATGGAAAATGAGCACTAAACCAAAGTCTTATTGGGACATGAAAAGAGAAGGAAATAACTTCCTCCAGGACACATTAATTACTACATTCCCTTTAAGGGTGGAGTTAGTCTAAAAGTTAAAGATCTGGGTAGTTTATGGAAAAGCTGCAGATGGGTAATGACATGACATTACAGTGGTACATGTAAAACTACTATAAGCATTCTTATAGGTGTATTCAGGAGATTTATGACCTTGACACTTCACTGAATATTTTTATTTAACAAAAAATCTTGTCACTGCAAGACTGTAAAAAACAACAACAAAGGTGATAAAAAATAATGCTTCAAAGAAATGGTGACCAGTTACAGAACTTAAAATAAGGTAAAATTTCCAAAAATACATGAATGTGACTTGATGACATTCTTTCATTTTATACCACTGAAACAAGGAAGCCTTTCAGAAGAACAACCTACTAACAGTCAGTTTGTATAACTTTGACCAGCAATACTAGTGTCAAGTATTATTGACAACAACATTCCCCGCAGCTGTTATTGTACCTGTATTAACACATTTATTTTTTTACATTTGCTGAAAAAATCATTGAGTGCTGCTTTTCTGTGCAAAACTATGCGACAAGAATGTTCTGGGTGGTTGCCAGGCTATTGTTATGCGGTTGCTAAGGTGTTCAGAGTGGTTGCTAGGTGAATGCTTACTGGCTGGTTAAAAGAGCTCATCCCCAAGTATCTTTGATAATTAGTCTCTAGTAATGGCTTGGGCCCTTCTTTAAGTCTAAAGGATTCAATTATTTTTTACCAGCTCACTACTTTTTCATAGAAATGCATCCCTTTCTGCATGGTTTTAATACAAGTAATTTTTCCTTTAATCAACTCAAGTAAACTGTGTGCCCAAAAATCTTGAGAAAACTAATGACATGCAGCAGCGGTGCATGAAAACACACACATCACATATATGTATATATATATCTCCATATTTTTCCTCAGTGAGTTCAGCCTTGCAGCAAGCTAAATTAAGTAAGACCACGTGTGCTGCCCTGCAGCCTCATGTGCCGAGAGAGAGAGAGAGAGAGAGAGAGAGAGAGAGAGAGAGAGAGAGAGAAAGATTCAGAGTGATGTCACAGACAGCCTGAGGACAATCACAGCACTGCTGCTCTAATGTTACGCATCAAATCACTGCATGCATACAACACGCATTAATAAAAACTGACAGGACAAATTGTGAATGATGTGAACTGGACTTGCACAGCTTATTGAACATGACTAATGAACATTATTGTACTGTAGATCCAAATTTTTTCATTAAAAGGCAAAAGAGCATTGTAATTTGTATATGTACTTGTGTTGTAACATTCATCAACATTGATAAGAAATGTTTCTTGATCATCAAATCATATTAGAATGATTTCTGAAGGATCATGTGACCCTGCAAAACTGGAGTGATGGTGCAAAAAATTTAGCTTTGACACAGGAATAAATTATATTTTCAAATATATTAAAATAGAAAACTCTTGTTTTAAATTGTAATATTTCACAATATTACCATTTTTCCTGTATTTTTTATCAAATAAATGCAGACTTGGTGAGTAGAAAATTGTAAATTGTAGTGTGTAGCAGATGTCTAATCAGTGCACTATTTTGCAAAGGACTCTTGAAAAGCTGAAATGGACATTTCTTCCATGCCTTTCACATCACTGCTCAGGATAGTCATCAATGAAGGGTTTTGGGATTGTGAGTGTTATTTTAGTACCATCGACCAATCAGCACTGTACTGATGTCATTTGTATGTGGCTCCACAGTGGTTAGTCACATGGAAATTACAGCTCAGTTTTCTCGTTTTGACAGCCCTAATACATTAGTATTCTGCCCTTCTATGAAAAAAATGCAAGAAATAAAGAGAAAGAGTGTCCAGACACAACGCTGCAGAAAGGGAGGGACGGGATGGGTTTGGATGTCCTGAACAAAGAGGCCATGGCCAAACAGAGGGAAGAGCTCAGTATCATTTCCTCTGGAAGACGTGACCAGAACTTACCCTGGACGGTTCCCCAGGGGTACTGGCGTGCTCGCACCATCTTGTTCCCAATCTTCACTTCCTCAGTGCTTCCCACTACTGCAAAAGGCAAATGACCCTGCAGAGCAAAAAAAAAAAAAATCCCACAAACAAATAATTTAGCAGAAATACTGCAGTCTATTTCAAATTTTTACAGTAACAGACAAGATGACACATTTAAATCTATATTAGTGCATGTAAGCTTATATAAACATTTACAATCCTACACATTCCTACCTTTCAAAAGTTTGGGGACAATATATATATTTTTTTTTAAGAAATGAATACTTTTATTCAGCAAGGATTAGTTCAATTGATCAAAAGTGACAGTAAAGACATTTGTAATGTTACAAAAACGTCTATTTCAAACAAATGTTGTTCTTTTCAGGATTCTTTGACAAATAGAATCACAGCAGCACAACTGTTTTACTCAACATTTACAAGAAATTATTCTTAAGCACCAAATCAGCATATTAGAATGATTTCTGAAGGATCATGTGACACTGAAGACCGGAGAATTGATGCTGAAAATTCAGCTGTGACATCAGGAAAAAAGTTATTTTAATCTGTAATAATTTCACAATATTAAAGTTTTTACTGTATTTTTGATCAAATAAATTGAGCCTTGATGAGAATTAGAGTCTTCTTTCAAAAAAACTTAAAACAATCTTATCAAACCCAAATTTTTGAACAGTAATGTAACTTAATGCACTCGTCTGTCAATCAGTCTTGGTCTAAGATACTATGAACACAATGAGGCACTCTACTGAAGCACTACGCCTCACAGTAGTGAAGACCTCGCAAAGAAATCACCTTGTTAAGATGATATTTACAAGACGAGAACAGCCTTTACAACCATTGAGAAAGATATGAGGGCACATCCCACTATAACCGAGTGGGATTTGTCCTGATGTCAGCTATCTGTATTTCCAATGGTTAACCAGTACTGGAAGTTACCACAGTAACCTCGCAGGCACAGGCTGTATGGTGAAAGTGACATTCATTAATTGGATGTCATGTTACTATGCTCTATGTTGTTGGGAGAGTACATTGATGAAGAATGCCTCTCCTTTTGTGGTGTCTTTTCCTGTGAGCAAACACAGGCAAGAAAGCTGGACACCATATGAACTCTTTCTCACTTAAACTACTGAACTGTGATGTGAAATGCAAACTGGGTGAGTGCTGAAGTATCAAATATGGCTGTGTTGTCTCCAAGCAAAACAGGACAAAGTACATTTGTGACTGACTCTATGTAATAGAATTTCAAGTGGAAGAGGAACACATCATTCTTAATCTTGTTTATCTAATTACATAATACCAACATGCTGTAGATAAGTATATTTTGTTCTCTTACATAGCACATAGTAACTAGATTTTAGACAGAAACATAGCAGCAAACCTTTTCTCATCGATCAGCATGATTTTAGGTATCACTCATATCCGAAACACACACAATGTGGAATGAGTTACACACCAAAGTTTAATACTTAGGAGTTATGGGTCTGTTTTTTAGAATAAGTAATATTTATAACTTATTACACAACACTTTAAAAGCACATCTTGTTTCGTGCATGTAACAACAGGAATGAATACAAATATGAATGATGTTCAGCATCAAGCTCCTTACATTCATGGTTGAGTTGATCTCTGCCACAGTCTCATCGTCGGTGGGAAACTGGTAGATCTGGACACCATTGCTAACCAACTCACTCGTAATCTTGATTTTGAACTTTGCCAGTTCACTCTTTGAGATGGCATCTGATTTGGCAATGATAGGGATGATATTCACCTGTATATAAGCATTTGGAAATAGACAGTAATCCGAAATTAAATCAATTTATATTAATACTAATTAAGATGATGACATCAACCAGACACAGCAATGGACAGATGATTTCTGAGCATGCTGACATATAAAACCTCACACGGCTATGATGAGTAAATATTTTCCCTTCAGAAAGCCAACTTTCAATTACTCAGGCAGTAAGTTATTATTACTAAATCTGGATGTAAGCAACTCAAAGCAACCTCAGTCAAAAGCAGAACATCTGGCTGAGTCCAGATATAGACACTGAGACTCTCTCATGTCTTTTATGCCTGAGCAAACTGAATAAATAGCAGACATTACCGAAAAAGGCTGAATTTACTTTATTCTCTATATGCAGTTGCTGCTGCAGTGCAGACACTTGAAATGACACAAATAGATTATCCTCTTTTAACATTTTTAATAAAGGAGAAGCTAATGCAATTAAAATTAACTACATCTCAATATGCCTTCAAACTAGGGGTGTAAATCGGATGGTTCATCACGATACGATCTGATATCGATTCTCACAGCCAGCAAAACGATATTTGCCAAAACCTCAAAGTTCTACGATACGATTACAATTCGATTAATAATTTTGTCTGTATTTGTTCGTTCAAGCACTAAAGAAGTGAAAGAGAACTCGCTCTCTGTGCGCGCTACGGATGTGTGTGCACAGAAAACTTCTCACACAGTTTTTGTCTTTTGATTATTTGTAAAATAATCACTCTTGAAAAAATATATATGGGTGTAGGTTTTTACAAATTGCATCGATAGATCGTATCGTTTGTCATTTGATCGATGCATTGATCAGACACCCCTCTTCACTCGTGACTGTGTGTCTCAGGCCCCATCCACACTACTGCGTTTTAGTTTAGAAACGGATAATTAAAACGAACACGATCTCCGTCCACACCAGCGTTTTAGCTGCGTATTAGAATTGATCTCCATCCACATTAAAACGACTGAAAACGCGGATCACGTGACCATTCACCAACACTGGGCATGCGCGTGCCGGTATAAACAACTTCATTGATAAAATTATCCCACCATGCTCTGGGTTAACCCCAAACCGACGCTCCATGTACGGTCAACGCCGCCGCTGCACACGGGAATTGTCACAGATCGCTCGAATAATAGCTTGACTCCGGCGCATGTAGGCAGTTATAGCGTTGTAAAATGCAGAATTTACTTGTACAACAGCTGCTAGCAAAGATATACGCCATGACTGATGACACCCAATCATAGAGCCGAGCGTGAGCCTCTACTACGTCATCGTTTCTAAAGTTCTCCGTTTTGACCCGTCTACACTAAAACGCCCTCCGGAGATTCAAAACTAAAAACGGATCGGCAGCGTTTCTAAACTTCTCCGTTTTGGGTCTCCGTTTTTGCCGTTTTAGTGTGGACGGGAGGTGCAAACGTAGCAAAAGGTCTCCGTTTTTAAACGAAAACGCAGTAGTGTGGACGGGGCCTCACACACACACACGCATAGAGTGCTCTGATCCCACTCACTCAATTTTTACACTCCTGCCACCCACACCACCATCTTAGTACTATTCTCAGTAGCCTGGCCACTAGCTTAACGCTTTGTCTGTTTCCTGTAATTTACTACTGGTGAATTGTGAGGTTCACAGAGACACTTCAAATAAAGGTTTAGAGACAGTGTGAGTACACAAGAATCTCTTCTCAAGCATGTGAGGCTACTGTTAGTTTCAGCTTCAGATCTAAGAGGGCAGATCTTGTTCAGGGAGTCTGTGCAGCACAGAGAGAGATGAAAGAGAATGCAGTATAACACAGCTGACCTTCACTGAATCCATCTACACAGCTCCAATGACATTAAACATGGCATAGCCATCAGCTGAATGCTTAATTACCCACATCTTAAACCAAACTGGTCTGTACAGTGAAACAGTAAATAATGCTAAGCCACATATATAGCAGACATTAGTTTCATTTAATGTATTTTTAAGTTTGAAATTTAAGTTTTTTTTACTTAATTTTGTAAACATTATTATTACTATTAGTCAAAATATATAATATTGATTTCTTTCTAGAATATTTTATAAATGAGATAGTCATGTAGTAATGTATTTTTTAATAGTCCACAGCATTAAAGGAGTAGTTCACTTTAAAATTCATATTCAGAAAGTCATATACACCTAGGATGGCTTGAGGGTGAGTAAATCATGGGGTAATTTTCATTTTAAAGTGAACTACTACTAAATTAAAATAATTAAAATACTGTACCAGCTAAGATTTTTATAAAATTGACCATAGAATCATATTGGTCAGTACCGAGTGTGATCAAACATTTGTTAAAAATAAAATGCATCACCAACCTTACTGTCTAGCTTCTTCATAGTAACCAGGTCAAGGGACTTTAGCGAGTGTCCAGTGGGAGCGATGAAATACAGACAGGCGTGGATCCGTGTATCATGATAACTGTGTAGAGTGCGTTTAATCTTCAGTTCCTCTTGAAGGTACGCTTCAAACTGAGCATCGATGAACTCCACAATAGACTTGTAACTGCAAGTTGAACAATGAAAGATGTGGAAATATTTAAAAGGAACTTACAGCCAGAACAAAAACACAAAAGCTAACATTAACATTTAAAGATGAGTGTAGTATGTATGTAATAATGTAGTAAAAGCTTCAGGCTTATTACAGAACTGTAAAATAAAAAGTTGTGTGCTTTGGGGGGGATAGGAACTGGTTGAGGCATCTATAAATAGTTGGAAACCCAGGGGCCGGATTTACCTCATATTGTGACATAGGCAAAATACATTTTTGGGCCCCCCCGCCAAAACCCCGCCACGCCACGCCACAACCCTACCCTGCTTTGGTCAGAAATACTACTATTGTAAATTCCTACTTTTCAGGAAATAATAAAAAAAAAAAAAATAATAATAAAAAATTTATATATATATATATATATTATATATAATTTTTTATTAAACACTGTTGTCAAAGTTGATAATATATTGTGGCTTTTTATATGAGAATTTAATATATTATATACGAAAAAGACCCACAGAGGCTTCTCCTACTGCAGCAACTAATATTTTTCTTTTCTTTTTTGTATACTTTATTTTAAAGGATTTTTCCAGTCAAAACACAAAACAAACAACACTGGCTCAGACTACACACACACAAGAAAAAAATAAAAAATAAATGGCAAATACTATTTTTCTTAGTGATTTGGCACCAGTTTATCAGGAAGTGACAATTTTGATCTCTTCATCTCGCTAGATGTAAACAGTGGTTTATTCGCAAATGTTTTATGCGATATTCCAATTTTGCCCATAAGTTAAACTCACAAATTTAGATGGAATATAGCTAATGTTCTTTGAATAATGACAAATAAAGCTGATATATCATCTAAGGTTTATCTAATTATGAAACTAATTTTGGCCAAAAGTTTGTTCATTTTGTTCATCATATTGTTGTATTTTATGAAAAAGGGTCCAAAATTTCAACTGATAATATCAACAACAAATTTCAACATAGTAAGAATAAATGGATTTCACATTTTACCTAGGGGTGTGACGGTTATTATATAACCGTGAGACCGACAGTTATAGTTGAACACCGTCATTAGAACTCTATAACCGCCAAAACGGTAATTAAAATATCTTGCAGATAAGATTATACTAATATCAGTGTTGGGGAGTAACGGAATACATGTACCGGCGTTACGTATTCAGAATACAAATTATGAGTAACAGTAGTCTCCACAGAACATAAAATATTCATTTTATTTTATGTTTCGTGTTCGCATTTATGAGGAAAAAACAATGTTACGGATGTGACCGGTCTGAAAGCGCAACTAAAAGACGTGACATTTAATCACAGAGCAAAACGTTCACTGAGACATCAAACAAAAAGCACAAAACCTTTCTTTAAAGTGAATTTCGTTTTGTATTAATTGTATATTAATTATAATCAATGTTTCATCAACCAATTGCCTGGATTTAATAAATAAGAAGTAAATATAGCAGACGATAGATAATCTCGACACGGAGGCGCCGGCGCGTGAACTGGAGCTCGTCTCATAAATGGGAGCCACGCTTTCCTAAAACGCTTCATTCAAACACGCCCAAATCTACGTCAGTATGTGGGGGCAGAGTTTCAGAACACTGCCCAAATGTATACGCAAAGAAAGGCGGCGCAACTTTTATTCTCGCTGTATTATTGTTGCCGCCATGTCGCGGAGACGCTGTGTTTTTCGTTGCGAAACCCAAACTACTTTGTTTGGCCTTCCAAAAGAGGACACAATTAAAAAAGTGGTTAAGCTTCATTTACAACACTGTTCCAGAACAGTACAACCAAAATATTCTACTGTGTGCTGCGCATTTTTCGGAGGACTGTTTCCAGAACCTGGGAGAGTACAAGGCTGGCTGTGCACAGAGGCTGATTCTAAAAAGTGGGGCAATTCCATCTTTGCAAGTGTATTCTGGCGGTTCTAACTCACAGACACAGCCTGTGTATGTTTTCATATTTTAATAATTTGCTACTGACTATTTAAACGTGAGTTTTGAGCAGTATAGAGCAGGGTTTCCGTTGTCCGGTAATTACCGGACATTGGCCGGGGAAAAAATGAAATGTCCGACAAAATTAAATCTCTCCGGTCAAATTGTCCGATTAAAATTGTGTAATAATCCCGCCCCCCCCAACACAATATGAATTTGAGAATAAGCCTAAAACGTATAAAGCAAAAATACACCGACCTTTGGCTATGTTATAAAGGAACAGGCTCTACCGTTTGAAAGTTATTAAACAACATCGCATGCTGCATTTCAAATAAAGCGCACGCCTAGAACGGCTGTAATATAGACCTAAACAACGAACGATTGAGTGAGACGTTTCAAATATGGCCAGGCCCAGGCAGGCTAGCCTTTATGGAACACTCCACCATTTAAAAAAATAATTGGGGTTATTCACGGTCTCCCCTACATTTAGATAGGTGGGCAAATGCATGTTTGGAAGCACAGGCGAAGCACTGCTACTTGGGCGCAGAGATATCACGCAACACCTGAAATAAAGCTTGCCACAAATAACCGGCGAAAGTAATGATTATGCATGAAACATTTGAATTGTTGATAAATTGATAAAGTTGACGATGCAGACTCGCCATCTTCGCAGTAGTGAACGCGCCTATAGAGAGAAATGCACACTTCATAGTGTGCACGCGCCGGCGCCTCCGTGTCCGTGTCCTGCTATATTGTCCACTATATTTGCTTCTTATTTATTAATCCAGGCAAATTTGTTGATGAAACATTGATTAAAATTAAGATACAATTTATACAAAACGAAATTTTCAAGCAAAAATAATTTTCGAAGATCGCTGGGTTGATTATTATTCGAAAATCGCACCCCTCCACCACATGCACGCACACATGCATTAGGCTACACACCAGAGCATGTGAGCAAGGCGGAGCTGTGTGACGCTTATTATTAAAAAAACGTAAACATACGTTTCATATTTATAAATAATATAATGTTTTTTTTTTTTTATTTCATCTATGTTGATTATATGAAAAGGGAACCGCATGAGATGAGTAAAATAGGATTATAAAATGACCGGAATATATCGGAAAACATATAGAACGGGTCAGATTTTGACCACTTATTTAGTTTTGTTTTGTAGAAATTGTATCTTCATTTTAATCAATGTTTCATCAACAAATTTGCCTGGATTAATAAATAATAGAGTGTAGAGTCTCTGCAACGGCGATAGACTGAAACGCGCAACTCGCGCAGCGCGTCGTCCATGCAACTGATAGCAGCGGACACGAGCGCTCAGCTTGATTTCAAAAACAACTGATTTTAGCGCTAGATCTCTTATTTAATAGTGAACTAAATGAATGATCTGATAGTTAACTGGAGATGTTTTATTTATTTGTATTAGGTACATCCGTGCCTCAATGTTTCAAAAAGTGAATGTGTGTGAAACCATAGTAAAAAACAATTGGTGTTGATTGACGCCAATCAGACGTTCATGTTTTTTTTCCGTCTATTTGAAAGTTAGGCTAATAATAACATGTTGCATTCTATACGGCCTGATTATGTCATTTTTTAAGTTACATAGCCTGCCTCCAGTTTTCCTCAACTTGACTAATTAAGAGGCGATATTTGACTGGCATATCATCAGAGGTTTCGTTTAACGGCACCATTTTTTTCTAGCGGAAACTCTGGTATAGAGTAGCGCTTCTATGTCGTTTCTACGATCACAAATGCAGACATGGTTTTATGTTTACATGGTGTTCTCAAAACCGCGTAAACCTAAAACCAAACGTAAACCTGATACCACTTTCCTATTGCGGTCTTTGTTGCTTTCGTTGAGGTGAACTTTGTTAAATTTGCACATAGCATGGGAATTGCAGATCGGATTTACATTTTGCAGATACACATTTATGTGGCAAAACATGGAACAGTTTTAACAAAACAGAAAGCTATCCGATCAGTAAAAATGCATGAAGTGACCTGGTGTAAACAAGCCCATTGACCTGATTTTGTCTCTGGTTAAAACAACTAAAGAATCGTTTCACTTAAACATATTTGGTCACAAGCATCTCACCTATCCTCTTTGTTGATCTGATCTCCAAAGCCTACAGTGTTGACCATAGTGAGCTTGAGACGAACGTTGCTCTCCTGCAGCTCATAAGTGTTGGACTTGAGCTGCACTCCAGGCTGATTGTGCTGTGTAGGTTCACCCTCAAATTTGGTGTTGAACAGGGTGTCCATGAGGGTGGACTTTCCCAAACCCGTCTCCCCTGTAACAAACGCACAACAATAAGCTACCACCATAAGCTTCATTATCTAAGATAAAATAACCCCATACACATATTCCTCAAATAATTAAACATTGCTTGCTATGTAATAGTTGTTGTCTCTGCATATTAAACTGGAATAGGGGGATAATGAATTTTTAACATCAAAATTACACACATCAGCTTTAAAGGGGTCATATAATGGTACATGCACTTTTACAAGTTGATTGTACTGAAATGTGTGTTGGCAGTGTCTGTACACAACCATCATATAATGATAAAAATCCATCCAGTGGTTTTGTTTTAATCTCCTTATATGTTTTCCCCTGCCTCAAATCGAGCCGTTCGAGCCTGTGACGTCACAAGCTCGCACGCCCCTCCCACGAATGTTGATTGACAGGAGTGTTTCAACACAGACCCGCCCTCGCTCATGAGGGAGCTGTCAATCATAGTCTGCGCGGCGCGGACCGGCACGGTCATTGTTGATATGCTGGAGCACTGTCTATGAGCAGAATGGCGTCTAAGCGATTGTGGTGTTCTGTTCTTGGGTGTAATAACGAACACAGCAGTCATTTTAATGTTCCTAAATCCGAACCGCTGAAGACGCAGTGGCTGAGTTTGTTTTCGAAGGGAATATTCCCCACGAGCAACGTCAATGCTCTCATGTTTGCGTGAATCATTTCACACACCAGACTGCTTTATAAAGGAGGGTATAAAGCTGGATTTGCTAAGAAGCTGCTCATGAAAAAAGGATCGGTACCAGATATTCGTATTCCTGCTAAATCTCCAGAAGAACGGAAGTGAGTGTAACGTTTTATTAAACTTTATATTAATATATTAATCTTTGCAAATCGCTAGCTGCACGCTTCACAATGAATGCGTCTAAGGTTTACACTCAGGGTACATTACGGCATGTTTTCTATGTATGACGTTCTCAATATAATTCATAATCCCACGTTTATACGGAACAACGCGTTATGGTTATTGTGTTATTGAGTTACAAATGGTGTAGCTACGCCAGAGCTCTGGTGTACGCATTGAACAGAGGGGCGGGGTGAGCAAAGCTCATTATCATTTAAAGTCATATGGACTGAAACGGCGTGCTGAAAACAGAGCTGTTTTTGACCAGGTAAAATAAGTGTTTTCTTACAATACTAATGAGAATTTTTAATTAAAGTATATTACAAACTTTTAATTTAGACCCTAAAGAATCATATTAGCTTGTACAAAAATGCCATTATAGGACCCCTTTAATACAGAAGTGCACTATTTAGCTGATGCATACACTTGTGTAAATGTCTAAAAGCCATGCAGCAATCCTGGCTATTCTTGCTCTTCTGACAACCACAAGCAGAGTAGAACTGGACATCATACAACACCACCAGAATGTTAATTATATGGATGGCTCACATTTGCCATTTCTTCATAAACTCAGCCCGCAGATCCCATTCCCACAGGACCCTGTAAAGCTTTCACTACAGACATGGGCAAAAAGCCTTGCCTGATGGCTAAAAAATAAAGCAGCGATTTCCCAATCAGATCGAATGCTGATGAGCAGTGGCTATTAAAAGGTATGGAGTGAGAACTGTCTAGTGAGTTCTGTGGTCACATCCTTAGAGCTTTAGCAGAAATGGGATAAAAGCCCTGAACTTTAGGGCATGCTAACAAATAATCTGAAATAATGCCTCTGTACAAATATTTCAAAAGGCATGAAGTCAGACTTCATAGTAGCAGAAGCACAAGGATTTAGCTAGAACTTTACTTGGTTAATTGGCATATGGCCTCTTACTGAGGGGACACAATCATATGCCTTCTTCACGGTTTGCTACTGACTCTGTCAGTAAAATATACCTCCATAACAAATAACATGCATAAATCCATAATTTAAAGATTATTTCCCCTGTTTTGTTAACTGTTTTAGAGGGATGGTTAGTTAAGATTTCTAACCTCCAATCAGCACATGAAATCAGGATATGAATCAAATCAAATCTCGAGTTCCTGCAACTGCTCTCCATCAGTGCACCAGTATTTAGTAAGTGGGTCACAGGACAGAATCAGTATGCGTTCACAAAGGGGTGTGACATACACTGAAGCAAATGGTTAGTTTCGCCCCAAGGAAAAAAGGAGCTCCGACATAACACACTCACCCACACAGAGGATATTGAAGCAGAAGCCATGGTTGACGGACTTGTTGACCAGCTGGTCCGGCATGCTGTCGAAGCCAACATGACCAGAGAGTGGGACGGCACGTGCACCCTCTCCCTAATACAAGATCAAATAAAAGCAAACCATAAATGAAACAAGCAAGACCACTTTCAACAATGCAGATCCTTTGCAGGGTTCCTCACTGTCAGCAATGGAAAGACTTTGTAAGCACTTAGATTCATGAGAATGCAAAAACGAAACTAGGGCTGGGCAACGATTAATCGTGATTAATCGCATCCAAAATAAAAGTTTGTGTTTACATAATATATATGTGTAGTGTGTATAATTATTTTGTACATATATAAATACACACACATGCATGTATATATTTAAGAAATATTTGCATGTATATACTTTATATATATTTATACATAATTAATAGTATATATAAATATAAATATTTGATATATTAATAACACATTTTTCTTAAATGTATACATGCATGTGTGTGTATTTTTATATAGACAAAATAATTATACACACTACACACACATATATTATGTAAACACAAACTTTTATTTTGGATGCGATTAATCCCGATTAATCGTTGCCCAGCCCTAAACGAAACATTGTCAATTTATTTAGTATGTAAAGGTACACAACATGCACCTCATTTCAAACACAGAACCTAGGTAAGACCTTTGACAAAGTGTAATACTATAGTATAGCTCTCAAAGGTTCAGCTCTGTGCACTTCCTCTTTCCTGTCTGATCTCAACTGTTGAAACCACATTCAGGCAAACACACACGTAAACCATTTGCAGTCGCAGACAAATGTTGCCGTTATCAAGTAATACAGATATCTGTGAAACAAAGCGGTTGTAAATAACGTAACACAAATGTCACATCTCGGCCATATTAGTCTTCACTCTTCAGCATTTCCTCTTCCATTGTTCAGACAGGTCTGCCACCTGGCCTGCAGAAACTCTGGCAGGAAAGGCTGTCTGCCCACATTTTACAGCATATCCTTTAGTGTGTGGGTGTTTGCATGTGTGACCTGTGCGATGAGCAGAATGAACGTGCCAAATCATTTGATTTCTGTTAAAATAACAAAACGAAGGGTGAGCATTCAGTCAGCACAGGTCTAATGTAATAAAGATCCATTATCCAAATGGAAGCATTTCATTAAGTTAAACTGCAATGAAAGGCAATAAAAAGCACATCCTTTTTAGTGAGAACCAATCAAAGCAGATGATCAGTTCTGTTATGAGGATTACTGTGGAATCATTAGCAACAAAATGCACATTTCATTAAATACAAAACAGGAAACTAGAGCAGCCAGACTGTGAGAGCATCTTATTGACTGAGAAAACAGTCACAATCTGACCCACATGTGCAACATTCCAAAACCAGACAACTGTAAGGAGTCCAAAGGGGGGTCATCATGACTGCAACACCCCACTGGCTGCTCTGTAACCAGAAAATACTGGTTCAAACCCCTGGTTTGAATAGTAAAGAAAGACTGATCTGAACGTCATTTATTACAACTAACAGCTTTTGAGCTCGGTCTCGAGCCTGCTGCCTCATGTGACTATACCTTACTCTCATTAGAGACGTCTGAATGAAAGGTACATAAGCTGCTACAAAATAAAATTTAATTGTTTTGTATGTCAGTTTCTGACATGAATGTACGAAATACTTCATAATAGACAACGCCCAGCGAGCATAAGGATGCTAATGCAATTAATCATAACGGTAATAGACGCGCTCGAATTATATGGATTTTACAACACAATGACACTCGAGAATGCGACGATTTTTTTTTTAAATCGTTGTTTATGATAATTCATCAGTCGTAGTCACTTCAAACCGTGATGTTCGTCCGTTATTGTTGGCCCTTAACATCAAGCCATTTCCCCCAAAACAGCTGCGTGGAGATAGAAGTAACGTTATAACGTTAATTTAAAATATCCACACACAAAAAACGTGCTTATATATTTTAATCGTTTACACAAACAACACTTGCTGTTTTAAATACGCTACTGTGTAAGTTAATTGATTGGTTTGTTGATAATGTCTATCACGTTCACGAATAAATGAATACCGAAAGCTATTTGGTTATACTATATGTCACACCTTCCAAAATAACTAGTAGAAATTCGTCAGTGTAGTTATGTAAACCGAAAACACATCGTAGTAATAAAACAGAGCTCTTACCGCTTGTCGCGCTATCTCAGTGGCCGCCATGGTTCTCTCCTGCATAAACCCTGAACCCTTCCTTCACAGGAAACCGCAGCAGAGTGAAGCTACAGCGACCAACTCAGATACGACGGACTGTACCATTCATGACTGATGCCATATAGCCCCTTCGGTTATTTTTATTATAGCGCAATTTTTAATTGGGATAATTTAGGAATTAACTCATATCCAGAATATACCTAGTTTAATTAATACAGCACTCAGAAAACTCATGAAAATAAAAACATCGTGCCAAAACATGACCCCCATTTCATTAAATGGTATAGTCTTCTTCATCTTCTGTTCAACAGCTATACGCATGTTTCCACAGGTCTAACAAACTATAGTAAAGGATGCTGAGTGGCACGTTTTTATTAAAAACATTTTTTTTTAGTAGCCTAACGATTTTAATGCAAATAGAGAAAGTAGGCCTAAGTCTACTGACTTGCCCGTTTAATAGTAATTCATTGTCCAATTTTCAGAAGCACATTTAAACGGCCTATTTTACTTTCATGCAGTAGGCTATAATATTTACATGACGTGTATATTATTCTAAATGTTACATATTAATATTTAGGAATATTATGAATGGTAATTTTGTTGCTTGAATGTGATTTATTTGAAAACTGACGTAACATTTTATAAAGAAGTAGGCTAGTATAAAATCGATTTTATATTATTTTTTTATTTTATTAGGCCTAAATCGTTGAATTAGGCAGACTTTCTTCTCGGTTTGTTCAGCCAGCTGAATAGTCACAAGTGTCATGGGTTTGAAGTGTTGATTTAGTCAGTAGCTCTTTGAACTTTAGACTTTAGGGGAGGGTTTGAACGTCGGAAATGGACTGTCAGGAAAAACACACTTGAAAAGTTTCGGTTTAGCTCACAGAACTCATTTTCTGATTCTCAGAAAGAAAAATAAATAGTCGTTTAACTGCTGGTTTGTGAAGCCCAGCTACCTATTTGGTTGAACTGTGTGCTTTATTCAGAGGGACGAGAGAAGAAAGAGCTGTGGACAACAGGTGAGACGGCATCTGATGAATCACCTCAGATACAGGTTAGATTCACTGACACAATAGGCTACTTACAATTCTCGTAAAACATTTCGAGAAGGAGAAAAGATAATGTTCGGTGTAATTTTATTTTTCAGACTTTAATCAGACGTAGCCTAAATCGACACACTGAAGCTAAACTACGAGCTTAGATTAAAATATTAAATAATGTGATATAATAGCGTAATGTAAAATAGTAGCTACATTACTGTGAATGTTTTGTTTTAAAAACAAATGTAAAAAGAGGAACACAAATGAGGAAGTGCTCGTTTTCCCCCTAAATGTTGCTTAAATAGCGATCCTTTAAAAGTTTTTTTTTTTTATATATATATATATTTTGATTATTATTATTTATAATAATAATATATTTAACTATCTTATTCCATTTAAGCATGTTATGTTCCTTTTCCCCCCACCCAGATTTGAACATATAGCCTAGAAAAGTGAATATAAGGAAGATGTTTTTCTCTGGTTATGTACGCCTCTTCAGTTTGGATCTTATCTAAAGTTTCCCGGGGATCCGCCAGTATGTATGAGGGGAGCAGCAGTGGACCCATCAGGACTGAGGAACAATTTAATGCCCCTGTGGGAGAAGGAGCACTGCTCTCAGAAGAACCGAAAGATTCAGACTGTAAAGCCTCGGGCAGTAATGGAAGTAATTCAGATTCCCCTAAAAACAGGATAACAAGCCAGTTCCGCTCAAATCTTGAAGAGCGATTCTCAAGACATGGGGCTCGACCCGTGTCTCCTGCGTTCAGCAGCGCCTCCTCGCGCAGATCCAGACTTCAGAAACAGCTGGAGGTCTGCAGTGAACCGGGCAGCAGCAGCAGCAACAGCAGCGCCGCCCGCAGACTATCCGTCGATGCTTCGGAGAAGGGCTCCCTCACGCCCGCTATGCGTAAGAAGTATTTAAAAGAGCTGTTTCTGAATGACAGATCTGGATTGTCAAGCATTTTGTCATCCAAACACAAATCGTCAAAAGAAGAGGAGGAGGCGGCACCGAATGGAGACATTGTGAACTGCGGCGCGCTATGGGCTTTGGATCCCATGGAGCACGCGTGGATGCTCTCTGTTGTGGATGGGAATTATGAGACCATAGTGGAATTTCTCTCTGAAGATCAGAGTTTATTGAGCAGAAAAGACTTTATTAGTGGTTTTACGGCTCTCCACTGGTTGGCCAAAAATGGAAAGGACGAGACACTGATTAAGCTTCTCAGGCATGCTGAAAAAGAAGGGCTGTCAGTGAATGTGAATTTGAGAGGCAGCGGAGGTCTGACGCCTCTCCACTTGGCTGCCATGCATGACCAGTACATGGTTATGAAGATTTTGGTTGGTGCATTCAGTGCTAATGTAGACATCATGGACTACAATGGGAAGAGAGCATGGCAGTATCTTAAAGACAACGCACCAAACGAAATTAAGGAGCTTCTGGGAGCCTGTGATGATGAATACTTCTGGTATTTGAATGTGAACAACAGTGCAAGTCAAGCACAAGCAGTTGAAGAACATGCTCAAGAAAATAGAGTCGAGGGGGACGGCTCAGGAGGAATTGCACGCCAGCGGTTCACATCATTTAAGAGGCTGTTGTACAACATTGGCCTGCTTGAAAAGATCTGAGACTGTAAAGCCAAAAGCATGTTTGTGAGGTCATTACTGTTAAACACCAATTTGAAATGTTTTTATTAGTAACAAGATTTGTATGGTAATATGACAACTACTTGACCTGAAGTGTTGTGTATCATGATTCATTTTAATCTTTTTAATAAACCAAATTGCAAGGAACTTGGAGACATTTATTTTTATAAATAATCTTTATCCTTGGTAAGACAATGAAAGGTGTTAATTAGTATAAAACTTGATTTTTGGGCAAGACATTGACATTTTGCAGAATCAACAATTGGAAAACTGACTCTGGCATTTTGTATTTAAAAAAAAAAAAAAAAAACAGAAGGATCCACATAATTCTGGTTCGATGACAAATCTTTTATTTAGGAAGGACATAACCAGAATATCTGTACAAAAGAGACTGTTGTCCCAGATAGCATGGCTTCTCTCCAGCTCTGGATGAGTTGGTGGTCCTGGCAAGGAGCAGATGGAGGGGGATGCTGAAGTAAACCTTGTGTTTACAAGCCCAGCTTGGTCCTTCTCCAGTGTCTCCTCTTGGAGTTGTATCTGCAAAAAGATTTGCAAAATGTAAAGCATCACACAGGATCGCAGCCATTAAAATGAATTGCACTAGAATCCCAAGGATTCTCTTGTAAACTGCACTGCTCTAAAACTAAAAACAGTGTGGCTCATAAAACCATGAATAAGGCAGTTTAAAGTATAAAGAGTAGCAAACTTAACGAACCAAGCAAATGTAAGTTTAAATGGTCACAAAATTAAGTCACTACCTGAATCACTTAAAAGCATTGTTAACATTATAGCAGCAACAAAAGTACTGAAAACAAGCAAGCCAAAGTTGCTTGATATGCATATACATTTCTAACGAGGGCATTCATCTAACTTAATTTTTTTTAAATCCTATGAAATGTGTCTCCACAACAGAGCATTCACGCGTCATATGGGAGATGACAGTAAGTTACTCATGACTCTACTGTAGATGATGCTCTCAGCAGGATAATGGCAGTACTCCCACAAAATTGAGCACTGTAATTGCGTCCTGCTTTCGTTTGGCTAAAATAAACTACAGGACAAGAAAACTAGGGCTACTAGCACTTTAAGGGTGTAGTTGCGGGTGTAGTTCAGCAGCGGCAAATAAATCCTACTGCACAACCATGTCAACATACCGGATCTTGTTGCCAGTTTTCATCCTAATCCACTGTGGAATCGGCCTGTTCTGCTTCTGCTTCTTGGCGAGGAAGCGTTTGATTCTGAAGGTCTTGTGTGACGCCTGAAATACAAATGTGAAGCACACATGGTTAGGCAATCTGCGATGGCTTAAGTTAGTCACCCGACGACACATCGTCGGTGAGATATCTCATTATTTATCGAACAGTAATCTGTTTAATATTAAACACGACCAACTAAGAACTTCAACTTGCACCGAAAAAAGAAGAGATGTGCAGGAAAACAATTACTTGTTGGACGATGTTTTATGATTCTCACTTACCATTTCGGAGATGGCTATCCGTTCACCACTATGGCGGTAGTCGAAGAGAAGGAACCATGGGAAACGCAAGCACTGTATATCCGAGTCATGAACAGAGCTACTCCTTCACACCACAGCGCCGACCAGTGGCTCCACGGAGCACGAGCTACTACGTAATGCTGACATTTCCCAATATTAACTCGGTTTCACCTTTTGAAAAATAGCAGCTGTATGCTATTCTCCATCCAGCCAATGCATGTCTCTTTAAAACCGTAAAACCTCTGGGTCGTTCCACGAAAAATATGCATTTTATGCCACTTCCTAATGAATACGTGCAAACAAACAATGATATAAACAATGGAAAAAATGACACCAACGTATATGTTATGAACAGCAATTTTCTTTTATACTTCAATAAAAATATAAAGATTCCTATGAGTCTCTACAAAAAAATATTTTCTCCTTTTTATCACTTTGTTGTTAAGCTTGTCAACCTTGATACAGTGATTTTGTGCAGTAAACAACAAATAATTGAAACTTAATCATTTATAATCAGAAATTATTTGTCATAAAATGACATCAAGCACAAGGCATTTCAACTTTAAATGATTAGCTGTATTAGAACCTAAATATTAAATTAAAGTTTAAGTTTAAGATGATGTAATTGCAAATAACATTCAAAGACATCTTGAAATGTACTTTAAAATTAAACTTTTCGGAATAAAAAAGGCACCTATTTCATGGAATAAAAAAATTGTAATAATTGTAACAAATGTAATATACAAATAAAACGAAACACTTGAAGTAACACATTGGTTGTTAATTTATTGTCTTTTTGGATTTATCTTCACATTTTGACAAAGCTGCAACTATAAAAGAAAAACAAGCTGTTTTGAATTAAGGATTGGTTACAATGAAACATACAATTGGATGACAGCACATGTGGCCATTTCCTAACCAGAGGATGCAGAGTGGTAGTATATACTTCAATTCCCAAACTATAAAAGGCCACAATCTGTTTTTGCATATAATTTAATCGACTTGCACAAAAGAACTAACAGTGATCAAGGCATCAGCATCACAAAGCATGGCTTTTTCCACCTGACAAATCCCAAATCAGAACAGAAATGGCTGCAGGCTACATCCATGCTCATAGAACACAAATTCATTACTGATTGTCTGAAGTGAAATGCACTGTATGATACCAGATAGAAGGGTTCAGGTAAGGTGTGAAAGATCTTTCTAAAGCGGAACAGTGAGAAATCTTGAGCAAGCCAGATCAGACTTTTATTAACTATGAAACAGAAAAGCAGGTGAAGTAAAACAAGTTTGGCTGTGTACCAAAAGTAAGGCCACTTCAAGTTATCATGGTCCAATCACTTCTCTCGTGGTTATGCCCCGTTTCTCAAATCTAACCGTCGGTTAGGACTTGCCTTGCTCATGAACTCATTCAGGCACTGGAGGGCAACAGGTATGTTCTCCCGTGTCAGTGACAAGAGAGTTTTATTTTATTTTATGTGTGGGGATTTCTTTTGCTGGCAGCACCATGTTTTTGAGGTGTTTGTCCTGACTAGAACAGAGACCCTCCTCTCTCGAGACATCATTTCATGCTAGCATAGCTGCTTCCTCACTCAGCCACTTTCTCTTGGCTATTCTTGGACTCCAGCTCAGCCTGTCCATCTCCATCTCGACCTCCTCCTCCCCGGGTACGGGTCCTCGCCCCAGGCTGGTACAGCTGAATCGCAGGCCGATCCTAAATCAGAAATGTAAAATTAACTATTAGCCATATGTAAATTAAATCAGTGATAAAGTATCAAAAAAGAGCAAGTACCTTATTTCTCAGACGATCCTTTTTGGCACTGTCTTCCTTTTTGTTGTCCCTTGATGGCTTTTCAGGATGAGCATTAACTGAGGACTCTCCAGTGTTTTCATGCTTTCTTTTCTCCCAAACACGCTCCTTGTCCTTCTTTCCTTCCTCCTCTCTCTTTTTGTAGGTGTTTTCTCCGTCCTGACGTTCCCTTCTCCTCCTTCGTTCCTCATCCTGCCTTCTGATACGTTCTTTTTCTTTTTGTCTTCGCTCTCTGTCTCTGTCCCGGTCTCTCTCTCTGTCTCCATCACGATCTCTGTAATCTTTATGCCCACTATCCTCTGATCTGCATATTGACATGGTGATATAAAAATAAGAGAAGAAGACTTGGAAAGTCAAAGATGGGTTGAGTAAGGCTGGGAATGGTTTTCATCTAGTGCAAGTGTCGAGTGAAACCAAACTTACTTGCCCCCCTTCTCCTCTCTGTATTCACCATTCTGTCGCTTCTTCATCTCTCCTCCTCCAGGAGGTCGATCTTCCTTCTGTTTCTCTCGGTCTTGTTTCTTAGGCTTGTCTTTTAGCTTCTCAGTATCACCATTGTCTGCTTTCTCTGGTTTTCTTAAGAGCTAAAAGACAACAAAAAAACAGGACCTTACATTACTGTTCAAATGTTCAGGTCAGCAAGAGTTTTTTTTTAAAGGAAATTAATACTTTTTTCAGCAAGGATGCATTCAACTAATCAAGTGTCAATGAAGACATCTATAATCTTACAAAATATTTCTATTTGAAATAAATGCTGTTTTAATTTATAATTTTCCACAAAAATATTAAGCAGCACACATTTTTTCAACATTGATAATAAGAAAAGTTTCTTGAGCAGTGAATCAGGAAATTAGAATGATTTCTGAAGGATCATGTGACACTGAAGACTGGAGTAATGACGCTGAATAATCAATATTCAATTCAGATTTTGTGCATAAAGTGTGTTCTTTTAGTAATAAAACAATAGAAATGAATCAATGTAGTCACTAGGCACGTTTCCATTACAGATTTGCGCAAAACTTTTTCTAATAATGAAGCGATTGCGCGATTTTTTCTAAATGTCGATAAAAAACTATTGCAAAACGACGGCGTTTCCATTAACCGATGTTATGCGACTAAAAAGTCATTTTTTCCTCTCGCGATAAGTCATTCCAAAAATCATGGCAACGGACGTTGGTAGGTTTATAGCCTATTTCACAGCCACCGCACTAGACATTATTATTATTAATAAAAGGAGACGTGGTGTGTTATCCAAGCATTAATGGCAGGGAAATAGGCTATATTTTGTTTCAGTTCTCGCGCTCCAGTTCACGGAGATCATGAAACCGCGCCTGATTTTTTATTTTTATTTTAACAAAGCACAACGTTTTCTTGTTATTGTGAGTTAAGTTTACACAAATAAAAGTAGTTGCGAATAATGTATTCTGTAATGTAGTCATATTTCTGTATGACCAGAAATGATAGAGTAGGCTATTTTAAGTTGTTTCCACTGTTGATAGGAAAATGCAAGTGTTTGCGCCCGCGCCCCCCTGCCATGCGCGCTCCACACTCCGCACAAACACTTGGATATGCGTCAAAATCTTGTGTTTATTTGTGATAATCTTAGCACAATTATTGTATTATTATTGTCTAACCTGTATTATGAATGACATTTGACGAATTGCTTTGTTCCTTTTTTGGATAAAAGCGTCTTCTAAATATGTAGCCTAATAAATGTTATAATAATGATGATAATTATTATTATTATTTGCGGACACGGACCCCAAATACACCGCGTCTTCCAAGTCAGGTGACTGTAAATGCGCAAATACTGTTTCCATTGCAGTTTTGAGAAATATTCCTTTTTCGAATTGCCTGAAAAACCACCTCATGCGAGCGTAAAAACTTTTTGCCGATAAACGAGAGTTTTTGCGAAATTGACGTGTTTCCATTGTGCGTATTTTCAATTCGCAATTTCAATTTGCGCAATTTGAAGGGTAATGGAAACGCGGCTACTAATATTTACATACCTTGATTTTTGGCTGTTCATCTTTAGGTTGGTCTTTATCCTTATCAGATGCCTTTTCTCCCTTTTTAAATTTCTCAGCCTCTTTTCTTTTTCTTCTGTCCTCCTCTCTCCACTTACGCCGTTCTTCATCTCGCAAGCGTTTGCGTTCTAACTCTCTCCGTCTCCTCTCTTCTTTCTTCTCTTCTCTAATCCTCTGGGAAAGACAGGATGAGACTGCATAAACACACTACACATACAGTATGGCATATTATATGTTTGGAAACCAAATTAACTGGTAAAAGGCTAATGAAGTATACAATTACATCAGTAAATATTACACCCTCACTTTACCTGTTTATTCTTAAGGAAGTCCAAGAGAGGTGTCGTTTTTTTAGCTGGGGAAAGAATATTTTAAAAGATTATTTCAATCGAACAATGAAAACTATATCAAGGTGTTTTGGTTTAAGAATGGAAGCTTGTTTCAATACAAAAGGTTTACGACTTTTTATCTCACAATTCTTACTTTTTTCCCCCCAATTGTGAGTGTACATCTTGTAATTCTTTTTATCAATGCGAGTTACATAAAATTGCGAGTTAAGGCCAATTCACACCGCACAAACAAACACGTTTGCATTGTTGGGGTTTGTTTTCACCCGAATGAACATGTTCAATCAGTGTTTGTTGGTGTCTGTTGGGGCAGTGTGAACATGACAGCTATTTTTCTCAGATGTAAACTTGCAATTGTGAGGAAAAAAGTCAGAATTCTGAGATCACCAAGAATTTTGCAATCAGCCACTGCCTATTTTACAAGTTTCCATACTTTTGTGCTGAAACTCACCACTGAGTTCTTTTGTCCTGGCCTCTATTTCCTCAAGTAAGGTCTCAGGATTGGAAGGAAATTTCTCCTCATCACCATTGTAGAACTCCAAAAACTTTTTGTAATCAGCATCTAATAAGAAACGGGTATGAGTCAGCATGAATCTGGAATTCCGGTCATCTTTTCTCCCCTATTGTGATGTATATCCAAATGAAGCGGCTTCTCAAATGAGAATTTTTTTTAACCCTTGGTTTCACAGAAAAGGCTTAAATCTAGTCCCAGACTAAAATGCATGTTTGAGCTGTTTTAACTGAAAGCAACTTGCACTGACATATCTTAAAATATGTCAATGCAATTGTTTTGTCTCAAGATGCACACCAGTAATGCTTTTTTTTCTAAGGCACATTTATAAAAGCCACTTAAATGTCCTAATTGAACTAAAGAATAATCCTGGCTTAATCTCTAAACTCTGTCTGTGAAACCAGACGGTAGTGCGGAAATTGATTATGTCCATCGGGATATTGATTGTATCATTGTTGTTTGTGAATTGCTGCGATCTTGTGATTGACAGGTTGCTGGAGGGGAGGGATTAATGTCCAGCCCTTGCACCTGTGCCCACGTCATCAGAGAAGAAAAGAGGTGTCATTGTGAGGGGAGGGGACTTTAATAAATTTGAACGAATATTACGAGGGCACATCGATAAAAAAAAAAAAAAATATGTAGATGGACAGATCATTTATAAAGTAATAAACACAGCAATATACTATAAAAAATAAGTACTAACACGTGAACATCTTCCCCATGTTAACTATTGTTTGCAATGATTACCATCTTCAATCGTTCCACTTTTGGCATCTTTCTTCTTGCTTCTTTTCTTAGCAACTTTCTGGAATGGTGCAAACTCAACAATGGCAGGATATTCTTGTCCTATAACATGCAAAAAAATATATATATTTTACTGTAGGAGAAGTTCACCAGCATAGAGAACATCTCAGTCTGACGCATAAAAATCTATAATAATAATAATGAATTAAGAAATCTTTACATTTAAGGTAAAACGTCGCAAAAGTTTGATTCCTAAACTGATTGATTAGAGAGTAAATAGTGAATGCTGGAAATAATAATGACATAAAAGCCAAACCTCGATTATCAATGAAGACGTAGCCATCAAAACGGTCTCTGAAGAGAAGTACGTCATCTTGATTTTTGAAATTCAGATATGCTCTTGCAAACAGATGAGGGAAAAGACTGCAGATAAACAAACACCTTGATCAGCCATACAATACCTTTTATTTGTGTCACTTTTCTGCTTTCTTTTATGAAATACAGCACATACAAACCTAGTATCACTTGAGAAAAACTCCAGGTAATCTAGCTCTGGAAGAGGCTGCAGTTGTTCCTCTAAGTCTTCTTTAGTTAGACTTGGAGGCAGACGTCGGATTACAATCTAAATTAATGGTAAAAAAAAAATATATATATATATATATTGAAATTACTTGCATATGTACAATTCATATATTTTTATACACGGCAGAACCCATGCGACACATAAGTATACGTGGAAGAATTAGAATTGTTAACATAACATGTTGGAATAATGGAATAAAATCATGTCTATCTTACTTTACATGCCACTATGTATATGATTCTTCTCTATTATTGTGCTAACAAGGTGCCAAATCCCCGCTGTGTTAGGACACTTTGACAGGAGGATTTGCTAACTAGACTGCATTTTCATCTGCAACGTTTAAATCAAACAGCGAATAATATGTAAACATCTAACTAGACATACAGCCACACACAATAATTTATAGTATTTCAAATGAAAGCGCCTAGCTGCTTTGTTCGTAGGCTATTTGTAGCAGGAATGTAGCCAGCTAGCCTGCTAACTAACTACCTTTGTCATAGCTTCCTTCTTCTCTTTATTTGGCTTCTCTGGTTTGTCGTTTTCATCACATTTTATTTCCACTTTCCTTTCTCTGGGACGCGTGTTTTCCTTGTCCTCCTTCATGATCCTTTGCCAACTTTTGCAACGATGTCTGACTTGGTTTGTTTCTTGTTGTCGTGTCTGCTATCTCTCCAGTGCCCAACTTTCCGCAGTTGTTTCTCTGTAACACCAGCAGGCGTCTCTGATTGGCTACGGCTCATGACGCAAAGAGTCGCTTCAATTTCTATCCCAGCATTCTCGAATAAATTTTTTTTTTTTAATTATAAGCATAAGAGTATATTTCTGAAAACTTTGTTTGACAAGGTGATCCTTTTGGTAGTTGTTGAATTCTCAGTGGTATTTAATGACTATGACTTACATTTTAATTTCCCTGTATCCCCCAAAGAATTTGCCTCTAATTGGTGCAATCTCTTCTGGTGTCTTTTCCTTATGTAGAGGTATTTCATACTCTAGGCCTACACATGTTTCTTTATTACATCCAGCGGACACTTTCTGAGGTAAAATTTGTTTTCTTTGACAAGCAAAAACAATAATAAGGCTATTCTCTATTTCACCTAATACATTTCTCATTACAAATAAGATCAATAAAATTGTACCTTGCTAAGCACAAATTTTACCCTGCTAAGCATTTGCTATCCCAGTTAAATCAAGACATGTAAACTGTTCATCTTTGCTTATTGGAACCGACTGTACCTCATATCCTCTGGCATGGCCAATATGCAAAGAGGTTATGGAACAAATGACAAATTGTTGTGCAAGTCCCCCCCCCCCCCCCCCCCCCCCCCCCCCCCCTAAACAAGTAAAGTTTCTTATTCACCGGTGTAAATTCAGCAATCAAAAACCTATTTTTTTTCTGTGGTGCTGAAATAATTAGAAAACGATACAAAAAAGCAAGACCTTTTATTTGTTTGTTTATTTGTATTATATTGGGGAATAATGAGCTAGCTACGCATGTCCTAACCATAGAGGCCCTAAGCCCTAACCCATTGTTGCCCTTCTTATACTGTCTATGATTGTTGCTGACCAGCCATTAATCTGTAGTAGTAGTTCTTAAAGCAAGAGCCACCACGCGGCGCTGCAGTATTACAGGCGAGGTTTTCACACACGGAAGTGTTAAAACACTTCTCGGAAGTTGTCTATGTGACGGTCATATCATAAGGGCAGACATTTTGCCCCATGTAAACGACAATTTTGCAAGATTTTTTTTTGGGAAAACCGTTTATACGAACAAACCGTATCCGCTTTAACAATTTCTTTGTGTTTTTACACTCATATTTCACCACAACCATGTGGTATGAGATATTGCCCGGTTTTGCTATTATGACAGTTTGTCTGATCATTCCTGGTGTTGCAACTGCTCAAATCCAGAAGTTCACAAACGGTGGAAAGGTGAGTGATGATGATGAATAATGTTTTGTCACGCTCTTGAGTATGCTTTAGTGAATCTTTCAATAGTTAGAAACTTTTGTTCTATCCTGACATTTTACGGAAAATTCTGTATGCCCTTGTGATGTCTGCAGCACTTAATCCACTTGTTCTTTAACTTATAGGATAAAAGGATTGCACGGGCTCCCTATCACTGGTATTTGATGGAGAGAGACAAGAGAGTGTCTGGAACTGGTGAACATTACCGACCTAAGGTGATTTTTTATATATATATATATATATATATATATAATTGTATTAGCTAGCTTGTGTAAATATGTATCAGTACTGGCAATATGCTCACCAAAACAGGTGTTCTAATATTTTTCTGTTTGTTTTCACAGGGACTTGAAAACATCAAATGAAGAGTCACCTAGATGAAACTGAAATGTACATTTTGTCCAGCCGTCTATTAAAATTCTGTCTTTAAATTATTACATTGGTTGCTGTTGTCACCTTTTTTTTTCATATTTGAAACAGTTTCATAAGAGTTGTTACATTCTGTTTTGATGCTGGTCCACTTCGGTGTGAATATACATTTGGATATGATTGTTTTGCATGATTTACTGTATCAGATTTATGGAACTGGATCAGATTTGATTCTTAACCCTATTAACTTTGATTTTAGTTATTGAGTCTAATTTTGATGCCAGAATTCAAGTGGCACATTAAAAACATCAAAGTAAATAACTTTTTGTCACTTTAACTGTTACTCCAGTTTAATGATACAGTTAAAATAGTGCATGGTCCAATCTTTGCAGTTTTTAAAGAGCGTCTCTCAACACACATTCTACATAATATATACTCCACGCCACAGTCTACAAAATGTGCAAAGTACTTAAAATAATTATAATTGATCAATTTAAATGCATCTACAGAATGCTTGAAAGTATACGAAGTACATGTAATGTGCATAAACAGGTTGTAATATGTTTATGTAATAAACAGGCTGCATAGAGTCCTTTGACAGCTTCAAATGGAGTATCAGTAGACAATATACAATATGAGATGCAATAAGCAGACAAATTGTACTGAAGTAGAAACACTTATTTTGTAAAGAGAATCATGTACGCCTTTTACATCCATTTAGAAGTCCAGTGGAGACAATTAAGATGACAAGCAAGCACACATTACATATTCTTTTCCAAACCATAATGCTTACAGCACTCTTTGTGGCTCTTACTGTCAGATAATTGTGACTTCCAGGCCTGGAAAAGTCATAAAAATGACTATTGCGAATGTGCATTTCTAGTTAAGCTCAGCTCTACTAAAAAATCTCATTGTGTATATATCGTTATTTGTAAATGCAATCTTAGATCAATTTTTAAAAATCCTTATCCAGTAGCTCACATGAGCTATAGAAAATCAGTGGTCAAATAATAATGGGAACTTTGACTTTTATTACAGGGACATTTACTGTTCTTGAATGTAAAAATCCAGTATTTTACAGTTATATAGCATAAAGAGTTGGACAGTAACAAAGTACATTTACTTGAGTACTGTACTTAAGTACACTTTTTGAGTATCTGTACTTTACATGAGTATTATTTATTCTGGAAACTTTTTAACTTCATTTGAAACTAACTTCATAAACTACATTTGAAAGACAAATATCGTACTTTTTACTCCACTACAATAGGCTTTATGCACAGCTTCACTACTTCCTGAACTTCAACCAGCCCTTTGTTTCCTGTCTGTCATTATTGGACAAACTGATTAATCCAGGTGTGCCTGATTATTGTTACTGAGGCCAGGCACACCTGAATTAATCAGTTTGTCCAATAATGACAGACAGGAAACAAAGGGCTGGCTGAAGTTCAGGAAGTAGTAAAGCTGTGCATAAAGCCAATTCTGTCAAGGTCCTTGAGTAAAAGTAGTAACGTCAGCCTGGGGATGATTTTGGTTCCAGGGGTTGCATTTTGGTTGGAAATGAAAGTTGGATTGGCATCAGAACCCGACTGATGTTGGATTCTTACATCAACCTGATTTTCATTTTCAACGTTGGGTTTGGTCTTCTAAATGCGAATTTTGTCGTTGTTTTGGAGCACACTAGCTTATAGATTGCAGTAAGGCTAACATATTCATACTAAAAGCCAAAAAAAACTTTAAATAGGGCACGCACTATTTGGGAAAAGCCATTTGGGTGTCCGAAACCATTGTGGACGTTACTGAGTGCACTTATTCAACCTCACATTCAATCCCACTACTGGAACTGTGTTCTATTTGATATTGATATGAGGTTAGGTAGGCAGGCATAGATTCAGAGGTATAAGGTATTGTAAGTACATGCAACAATAACAAAACAATGCATTGACATTTACTTTTGATACTTAAGTAGGCCTACTTTTAAAAACAAGTACTTCTGTACTTTTACTTAAGGCAAAATCGGTCTTTACAACTTTTACTTGTAACGGAGTAATATTTGACCAGTATCTGTACTTTTACTCAAGTAAGGAAGTTGTGTACTTAATCCACCTATGATAGTATATACTTCCTATGTTGCCATGTAATATGTTTATATGGGTGGTTAATAATACTCTAAATGCACTACATATACTCAACTTAAATGAAATAATTCTTAAGAAAATGAATATTGTTGAAAGTTCCTGCAATTA